GGTTTCAACAAGTAGTAAAATCGTGCATCTCCTGCTGTCAACTTTCCACCCAAAGGATTTATTCCGGCCGCGGTTTAGAGCTTAGTTTGATTGAGTCTGTAAAACCAAAACCACCCTAATTGCAACAGCCAATCGAAAAACAAAAAAAAAGAAATTAATCGCGAGGAGCTCTAATTCAAAACAAGGAAACTGCCTGAAGTGCGGGAAAATCTAAGTGACCAAATCGCGAATGGTTAGTTTTTATTTCGATTTGTCTAGAAAGTGGCGTGAGTTTTCTGGACCAAACACGGAGCGAAGTAAAGCGAAGCTATCCTAAATAACTTTTGACACTGAAAATTGCTCTAAAAAAATTACTCGACAATGTTTCAGTTATAATTGTTGAAAAAAACTATCCTAGATTTTATGCTTGAAAACCCTTGACTGAAACTGACAGATCATCCACTACACCTGAGGCATTGCTTGTTATCAGAATGCCTTTTATGCGCGACTACGCGAGCCAAACTTTCACGAAGTATTGTAAAAATCCTAGTAAAGACATTTTATGATAGAAGAAAAAAGAACTCGCAATGTTCAGTTGTGTGTTTTCCCAAAACTCTCGACTTTTGCCTCCTCAAAGAGTCGAAAGGATTCTTTTTGAAATTTTTAATGTCCTTAAGAGTGAAAGATCTTTCTTTTGTTAACCATTCAGAGTGACTAGTATCTAATTTCTACTTACAGTATCACCACTGAATCAAACGTTAAGGTAATGAGAATAAAGGGAATGATCATCAACTAAAGAGACTTTTCATTCTTTAAGCAAGTTCTCTTTGTTAGCACCCTAAGAAATGTATAGAGAACAGTATGGAGAATATGCATACTGATGTTAGATTGTAAAGGGTTGCGTAGTTAGAGTGAACGGCCCATAGATGTGGTTGTTAATATGGACCTAAAAAATAAAACTTCATGGTCTTGAGTATACGTGTTTCATTGTCCAATCTTTATTATCAAAATATTTCTTAAGAATTATAAATTAATAGTGGTTCCATCGCATACCAGCTTTTAATTGCCGATTAACCTATCAAGTTGACATAGAAAAATTATTCCTTATTTAATGATAAATCGATACAGTGGAACCCCGTTAGAGTACGATTACCAAAACAAACTGGCCGAAATAACGGGGTAGGGTCAAATTCCATGCCTTATACCTGTCATGAAAAATGTATCACATTCGCACTTCCTGAACAACTGTTCGCTTTAATAAGCAACCAGTATGTGTAATTGTGAAAAAGAAAACACTTGAAAACTCGCTCAATAATAGAGCGCTTTTACAATCGGCTATTCAACCGGCACAAATCATGATTTTAAGTGTACTGGTTTTCTATATTTAGCGCGAGTGGTCATATTAACGGGTGACCGCATTTACGAGAGTTTTTATAAGAAAACTCATAGCCGTTTTGCCGGGCCGAAAAAAAGGTAGCCGTAATAGCGAGACGATCGTATACTACCGAGGTTTCGGGAGGCGGGGTTTCACTGCAGCTCCAATTCTTACAATCTGAAACTGGGGAGTCCAAATAGAAATGCCTACAGGAGAAAAAAAAACCAGATTTGAAGTTAAAGTTTCGGCTAAAACTGCACGTCGAGTCGAGGTAAGTTCCTTTCTTTAAGGCTGCGCAAGGCTTTTGCTAAAAAAAAAAAACTCCTGAAGTTCGTCATATAGAATCAGAGTAGAAATCGTTTGCTGCTAGACAGAGATTAAGCGTTCAAGACAAAATCTCATTAGCGTCTGTCAGTGCACTGGCCTCAGGATCCATCGCAAATGGATTTCCTTATTTGCACTTGCATTATTTACACGTGAATTATTTGCACCCACACTCTTTGCACGTTCTATATATTAAACTGAACACTTGCCAAGTACATGGGGAAAAAAGTTCGTCGTTTGTATGACGAGTTTGCCTACACACACAATACCACTCCAGACATGCCTACAGCGTGCATTTAAATTGCAAGTATTTGACCATTCATTTTTGTACGTCATCCTCGTTCTTGTTAGGAAATCCTTCATCCCTCGAAAGTTCTTCCATATAACAATGTAAATATTGATATTTTCTATTAATTAAGGGAAAGTTTATGTGATTCGTTGGGAAATTGTCCATTAAAAATATGACATTGAGGTAGCTTTTATAAGAAATTTGTTTGTCAGATAGGAATTGTTATTCATGTGTCACTCTTCGGACGAATTAGCGTGAGAACCCTGACAATCAGTCAAGTCAAGTCAATACTCTAACTTGATGTTTGTAAAGCACAGGTTCCTTTTAGTTTCCATTGCTACTAAACAACCAGAAATTAGATTTCTCCTGAAATTAAAAAGACGTAAACATGCCTGATATCAACAATAGCTTTGTACCCGTTTACCGCAACCCGCAAAAATGCAGTAAGCGGTTTGTGGTACTGAATAAAGCGATGGAAAGCGTGATGGTCGTCCCTTGCTCTGAGTAGGAGGTATTGTCACGATAATATGATAAGACTGGTGAAAACACTGGAGTTTGACTCAGGTGTTTTGTTGAAAACAGACGCCTCGTAAACATTGTTATTCGAGGCAAGGTCAACCTTGGGTCTTACTGCCATGGTCGGATAAGTATCAATCGTGGAGGCAACATAAGTAATAACTACTGAAGTTCGTTGTTTATGAAAGAAACTCCTCGCTAAAAAAAATTCCGAGCTTTAGTGCTACTAAATTTATCGTCTATGACACTTGAATTTTTACAGGGAGTTAAAAGTGAGAAATATGATGTAAACTTTGTTATTGAATCGTATGACACATTTAATATAATGTCGACGTATTAAAGTTGTAATTTCGCGAACTCCATGTGCAGTCAAGCTTTTAATTCTTTAAAGTCGTTACCGTGATGTATGAACAATTTTTGGCCTGGTCTGGTCTTTATCTATCCTTAGCCCTTTTTCAGCTCTTGAAGAGCATACACACTTGTCGCTTTCAACGCGCACAACTGATGAAAACTCTTTAAGTTGAATGAGTGAAACATCATACCTAATTGTACCTCAAGGCTTGAAATGTCATCTACTGTCACAAAAAATTTCATATCCGTGTAATGAGTATACACCTCGGTCATTAATCACTGTGTGGTGACACCCTAATTGACAGCTCTTTTAATACTTTTAACTCATAAACCAGCCAATTTCCTCCCCTATATAAGCTATATAGATTATTTGCTGGTCCAACAGGTATGATATTTTTTTTGCCGTTTTGGACTGACCGAATAGACTAGGAAAACGGTTCTAGATTTTAAAAGTCGGATGTGGTTTTCAAAGGAAGCACAGGAACGAATGAACGTAAACTTTTTTTAAAATCCAAATGGATCATCCATTTCGTTGTTGTCTAAGTCCCTTAGAGCAGAGGAAGGGACTAAAAACTAAAAAAAATATTCAGTAATTTGAGTTAAATTTCAGAACCTGCTTGACTCATTCCTGACTTCGGCACTGATGCCTGGCTTATCTAAGGCGCAATGATCCGCAAACCAAACTCACTAACTTTCAGAAGCCAGATCTGAAAACAGGCATGCATGCAAATCTCGGTTAGCCATTTTCTAAAGTGTAAACTCTAAAGAATAGTAGAAATATTCTCGCTTGAATAAAGCAATACACTCTGTTTCATTTGCAAATATCGTTGTTCTTTGAATTTCAAACTTGTCGATCGATACCTCGATGCTAAACGCTAGACACGACCAATAAAGCGGGACAGCTTCTCGGGAATGGAAATTTCGGGAACTTTCGAGAAACGGGCCCCAGTCCAAAGAGCATATTTAGAAAGTGCAATTTTTGGGCTGAAGTAAGGTCAAGCTTTGGAAAACGATACATTCTCCCAAGAACTCTGAGGTGTAGGGAACGTTTCTGGGCTTCCCGGTGGTGTACACATTTTTAACGCCAGACACTCGCACTGATCAGTTCACTTACGGCAAACACTTCTTTTCAAATGTTTCTATTCGGAAGTTGACTTCTTTGAGAAACTCCTTTGAGAAACTTATGACGCAATTCCAATTATTTTCTCTTATGACGCAATTCCAATTAGTTTGCTCAACGAAACGTCACTAACTGTTAAAGTTAAAAAAACAAAAAAAAAGGTCGTTTGGAAGGGGAAATAGCAGCATATCAGAATTTCTGGAGTATTGAGGATTTGTTTTACTGAACGACAAAAATTTTATTCCTCTTAACAGTCGGCAAGAGAATTCAATAACATTTGGTTAATCGTTGTAACAACAAAAATCAAAGAAACATGAAACTTGCTTTATAGGAAATTTATTTCATTCACTCAAAAGGCTCGAATTTTGACCACTAAAAATTCTTCGAAATAGGCTTTTTAGGTAAACTGACTACCCATATTTCTATTCCTGCAGAAGTGCTTACAGAAACTCTTCGGTTGTCACTGGAAAATCAAGGTTTAAAGACGCCAATAGTCATGTTCTACGTTCGAAGCAGCTAAGCAGATTTTGAGATATCTTAAAAACTTATTTCACCTCTGTTGCAGAAGGATGTGTTATCAACCGGCGAATATAAACATTTTAAGAGCAGTTAAAATATTGTAGTAAACTAAATATTTTCGCCGCTTTATCTCATAATGAAAAGATTGCTAATACTTCGTAAAGGAAATAATGAAAAAAATGCTGCATGTTACTCGTTATGAAGATTGGAACATTTGCAATTAGAGTGAACGCAAAACTTGAATGATGCTTGAATTAAACCTTTTCCGAAAGTTTACAATCGTCATTTAATAATCCCATTTGCCGGCAGAAAAACTTCCCTTCCAGAGCCCATCTTCTGAAGATATCTCTAACGCTAGCTTTGGCCTCATTACTTTTATTTTGTGAAAAAGAATAATACGGAAAAACAGCGAGTAAACATCTACTAGTTGTTTTGCATCAAAACAGATGTTTACACCAAATGCGCCTCAGGGGAGACTGGTGCGACCGGTCACGTGATTACGCGTATCAACAGCAACGTGTGCTAACTTGAAATCAACTCGAAGCCAGCAAGTAATCGTCGAGAAAAGCACGGTAATCTCTCACCTTATATTGAAAACTTTAGCCTGAAATTCTCTAAAACGTTAGGAAAATTATTTAACTTTTTGTATGCAGTATTTATTTGCAGATTTGAGGCTATTTTGGTCGTAAATGTGTTAATCAAAATGTGCGTTATTTTCAGTTATCGGACCGTAATGTAAATCATTTCGTGACAGAGAAGCAACAGACCAAATACATCACATACTTTTCCGACGGAATGAAACATTTGAACGCATATTTTCTTCTTATAGCTCAGACAACTTATCTGACAAAAATGTGAACATTTGGGAAATTTCAATTTGTGAATACTTAGCTCGGCCTCAAACAGAATATGAACATTGTTTGAGGAAAGCTCTTCAGTATCAACGGTGTCGGGGTAATTTCAAGTTAGAGAATTTTTCTGTCAGACAAAAGGTAGATTTCTTATTCATCTTTGCTGGCTTTCAAACATCATCCTCGATAATTATTTTACCACAACATTGAAAATGTTCTTGTCTTAAACATAGCTGAGCGATTTTTTATTTCAAAGTGCCTGTGAAACCGAAAGAGAATACATTGGATCGGGTTGTATGAATACACCATTCGTCGCACCGGAATAAATTTCAAGCCCGAATTATGCGCTTCGATTGTAAAGAATTCTACGTCGCACAACAATACAAGGAATTGAGAGTTCGATCATATTTGAATGGACAATTCTGAATTGGTTTTTCATGTTTTGTTTGGATCTCTTTAATTTTTAGTTTTCGTTCATACCTTCGTACATCGCAAGTCAACGATAAATCAATGTTCTCCAGTAACTTCGAGTTCTTCCATCATGTAGCCGAATCGGCCAACATTTTAATTTACTTCTGATATTGGTTACGGGTAATAGAGCTGGTTTTTTCTTGGCGATGTAATTCTGTCAATCCCTCGGCTTGCTAACCGCTTAAAAATTGATTCCTCAACTGTCTGAATTGAAAAATCTTCGGTCAATTTTCAGGCCGCATAGCCGATGACGGCCCGAATCAGTAAATCTAAGCTTGGCGAAACAAGCTTTTCAGGTCGTGACTAAACATGCCGTACAAATTCTATATATAAAACTGACTTCACGGTAATAAAGATATTCCTCCAATTGCATGTATTTATTTCTGAATGAGAGAATTATCGATCTAAATTCAAAGCTTCCTCGGAGTACAACTAAAGCTGCGTGTTTCGGTCTCATCGAGCCGAAACACTTCCTTCTGTGTCAGAAGCTTGATCAAGCGAAAGAGTGTGTGGCATTTCACTAACGAAAGGGTATGAAAAATCATGGTTTGAAAGATGGTTTTTTAAGTCATTTCCTGAGTTTTTCAAGATCTTTTCAATTAGCTGCGAATGCAATAGATATAATTTTCCACATTCCGGCGTAAAAGATTGACTAAGGCATTTTGTCTTCAAAGGACTCGCGAACACGGAATTTTATTTTTATTTGGGCTAAAAGCGTACTGATTCATCTCTCAATCCAGTTAAAAGAGCCATTGAATTACACGAGAATGCTTATCATCGTTCTTAAAAGAACTAAGATAAACATATTCACTAAAATCACGCAGATGAATACAAGGCACAAGTTGGTAGAAATATAGATAAACCGCCACAGCAATAGGCGAAAAGCTGACGGTCAAAGCGTTAGCCTTACCTCAGAGCAGAAGGCTCAGTAGCAAGAAAAACGGTTCGAAAAGTCATCTGTTCAAAATTTGCAACGGTGGTTTTTTCTACGCTGATGAACTTCTGTTAAGTAATCAATCAGCTGCTTACATGGCCTACGAGCACAACAGTTCCTTGTGGAACTATAATCAGCATGTCCGTAATTTCGGCAGAATCCTCAGTTTAGGAAAAATCTATGAGGAATTGAAATAAAATCCGTGGTTGTAGTTTCCATAGATTATAAACAACAGACAGATACGATTCCCATCATTTTTTCCGGTCCGAAAAGTCGTTTTGGGTCAATTGCACATCTTCTAAATATTTACCGAAATTCCGGCATATACATCACTTTCGAAAATCTTAGAAATACTAAGAGCTGCACTTTGGCAGAAAACTTAAACGGCCGTTTACCCCTCATTTCGTTGATGCTTCTTTTTGTCCTCATATAGATCCTTCAGCTAGAAAAAAACTTAAAAAACGAAAACATCCTCTATTCATAACAAATCCAAATATTTTCGTGTATTTGCTGAAACGGCTGCATGAGGGCAGGCAGCGAAAGTTAAGCAGTCCTTTTTTTTTCTTCGTCATGGTCCAAAATTTCTCTATGACTTGATTCGTATACAAATATGGGCCTTTGCCTCTTTCCAAATGTCATCATTTCTCTTTCTGCCGATCGAGCAAAACACGAACGGCAAATCTGTTTGCATGGCTGATGATTTTAGAAATATGGTTTTTTCTTCGCGATGTAATTCTGTCAATAAAATTCACATATGAAGAAACGAAATTAAGAGATCCTCGCAGCTAAGAGCACTACTGAACTAGTAGTTGAAAATAGGACCTGAAAAAAATTATTTTTTTTTTACGTAGCATGGAAACCGCACTAACCGTGAGTCAGCTTGATCGTGTTTTGAACAAACCGACCCTGTTCATTCGTATTATGTAGTGTTTTGATGAACACATGATTTGCAGACACAGGAAGCGGTTTTCATGAAATTCGCTAAAACTCGCCATGAAACACAGCCTCAAGTTTCTTTACAGAATCTGACAGATTGGTAGTGACAAAAAATAAGTTTGTGAGGATCCGTGACTTTCTAGTTTTTGAGCGAAATTCTACCGGTTGAGAGTGGTTCATACGTTAATGAAGATATATAGGCACCGACGTGGTACATATTTTCCGAGGTAGTCTGCATACGGTGGCTTTATAAATCAAATTGCATGTAGCCGATGAGCCTCGATGTCTTTTCTTTCGGTAGTATCGCCTGCAAGACGGGAGAGAAACGGGTACTTTGAGAGAGAGAAAAATTAGTAATGGTAATAGGACTGAGTAGAGTCCAATTCGGTCTGTAATCATACGAGTAATAACCATGCGCAGTCGTCCGATTTTTTATCACGAGTATGACTACAGACCGCATTGGACGACACGAAGTCTTATTATCAATTAATCATAAAAATTAATCATACAATTTCCAAGAAAAGAAGAATACCCAAGTCTTGAAAGAAACGGAAAATATGCATCGAAAGGCTGACAGAGGAGGCGTAAATCGTTTAATGTACACTGTTTCTTTGCTGACTGAAACCGAGGTTGTGATTGGTTGATTTATACTACAACTTTGAATGTGACTGGCTTATTGAACTGTCCGATAACAAACTGTCCGATAACAACTTGGCAAAGTGAATTAGTGGAAAATAAAAGCTTTTTAAACCAATCACGCAATCGAGGAAATTGGGATTGTTATGATTAAGCTGGAAATGTAGTAGATAACTCAGATCTACTCGAGTGAAATAATGATATTCGCCCTGACGAAGAGCTAACGCAGCTTTAGGAACTCTGAATATGAAAGCGATCTTCCATTAATGAACATTACTTAAGTAGTAATACAGGCCTGATTTTTTTTCAGGCCTTATTTTCACTATGCTTAAGTGGTGTTCATTTCTGCGATGATTGCGTTCATATTCGTCTCTTAAAAATCGCAGTTCACGGATATGATTTTGATATATTCACAGTCATTTGAAAACTCTTTACGGCGGCCAAGTTATGTTATCAAATGGGTAAAGCTAAATTTAGCTTGCCCACCTCAAAGCAATGGTAGTCAATACTTATTTGCAGTCGTCCGTATTGTTTTCTTCCCAGACATGACACTTTGAAAGTCGCCAATGCTTCTCCTTGCTGAAAATAAACGCAAATTAGAGATACATACGACTTTATAGAGTTGCTTTCTACTGATGATCACGAATGTTTTCTTGTCTTACTAAGGACCTGGAATACGCCTGAAACGGAAGATGTTACGGTCTATGAAAATACAAGACTTAAACCCTCACATCATGTGTGTGCTGTGTGGTGGATACTTAGTGGATGCTACAACAATTGTCGAATGTCTGCATTCGTGTAAGTTAAAGATACGACTGACGTTGCCAAGGCTTTCGTTACTCATGCAAACTGATTTGTATAACAAATAAACTATTTTTATTTTCAATGGTATAATCATTGTCTAGAACTCACCAAACTGAGCTCAGTGGTGAAAAAAAAATTTTTTACCATAAACAAGTCTCTGCAGTCTGTTTGGAGAAGTAGTATATCTTTGAACTGAGCCTATGGCCTTGTCAACCAACAAGTTGGACTGTTTCTCAGTTAGTGAGGAATTCCATGGCTGAATTGGAAGATCTAAGGTTCGAGACCTCTTTGGGACTCGGATTTTTTCAAGTCCCACGCTTGTGAGAAATGTTTGATTTTCAACTTTTTTAATATATAATGTGTTCATTGTTCCTAGTTTGTCGCAGCTGTATCGTGAAGTACCTCCAAGCATCGTATCACTGTCCTGTTTGTGATGTTGAAGTCCACAAGACTAAACCACTGCTCCACATAAGGTGAGATATAAACATTTTTAAGCAAATTAAACCGCCTTTTCTGTATTTGCACCGCTCACTTACAATAAATAGACATAAGACCAAACTGAAATTTTATCATGCGATACTTGAAAGCAGGGAAAAGTAATTAACAAGGTCATTAAAGAAACAACCTAGCGAAGCTGAGGAGTGAATAAATGATGAGGGGCAATACTCAGCTTAGGACTCTCACTATACGAGCGTTATTAAGAACTGAGTTGAAAACTGCCACACTTTTAATGAAGTTTTGAGAAAAAAATCGGGAAAACTCTTTAAAAGGATTATTTTAGTTTCTATTTTATATAGCCATTCTGGCCTAAAGAAAAAAACTATGAGAATGTCCATAAATATCTAATTTATTTCAGGCCTGACCGAACCCTCCAAGATATCGTCTTCAAACTCGTTCCTGGTCTCTATCAAGGTATGGCATGCAGTATGGTAATTCTTTGTTATCATCAAAACTCTGGTAACAAAAACGTACTGTTCCAAAACCAAAGCGATCACGGATTACATTCGACACCCACGAGGAAGTTTGATAGGGGAGAATTGATGCCACGAACATCGACATGAGCGATTGCGCGGGAAAAATTGCGTCAATTACTAAGCCATGCATGGTGCTGGTATCTTCAAGCATCATGGCACGCAAGCGCGACAAGCGCATTTTGCGAAACTGACGTAGAAACTCCTAAGCTTCCATTTTATGAGTTCTGGCAGATCAGAGAACAAGAAAATAAATAAAACCTGAATAGCTGACGGGTTGAGACTTTTGTGCCCTCCATAAAGAACTGCGCGCCGGCTGAACCAACTTTCCTCGATACCAACAGCAAGGCGTTTCTCTTAACCTTGCCTCTTAGTCGTACCACCAAACTTCTCGAAGTTAAGAATTTTGAAACAAAAATCTTCAAACTTATAAATCGGCTCTTTAAGTATCCAATACTGTATATCTGAAATAAATTCAATCCCGAATTTGTTTAGCTGAACTGAAGCTTCGACATGACTTCGAAGACAATCAAAGAGAAGAAAGAGAAGAAGACAAAACTTCAGGTAATTCATCGAGTCTCGATTGGAAATGCAATGAAACTGTTTCCTTGAAGGGTTTTTAAGAAGCTAGCCCCTTTCAACATAGTGTCGTCATCTGTTCATGAGGGCATTTGTTTGCTCGTTTAACTTTGACTGTTTGATTGAAGGGGGTAAGTTTCGAAAATAACTGTGGTGCTGCGTCAGGGGGAGAGTATAACATGGTAATTTGATATTATCAACTGAGTTGATAACGCGAATTAGCCACTGCTACGAGTTTCAAAGCTTTGAAACTCTTAGCAGTGGCTAATTCACGTCATCAACTCAGTTGATAATACGAAATAACTTTGAGCTTGTTTGTTTGTTTGTGTTTGTTTGTGTTTACTTGTTTGCTTCTTTGATTAGTTTCTTGGTTTCTTGTTTGCTTGTTTCCTTTTTTGCTCGTTGCTTTTTTGCGTTTTTGCTTGTTTGTCTGCTCTCATGCTTATTTGTTTGCTTATTTACGTGTTTGTTTGTTTGTTTGGCAAAACATTCTTAGTCCGCGTCTTTCAGTAAAAGGACTTCTTGGTTAGGGTGTAAGGGTAAAGTTAAATTGTAATATTTGTCTCTCGAAAATGAGGTGTGAAGACGAAGCATTTCTTGTCCTACTTCTCCTTATCCTTTGAGCCAATTTTCCTTTTTTCAGACGAAAACGTAGTTCCGGGTGATATCAAGGATAAAAAGGAAGTTGAGATGGAGGATCCGGTGTGTATAACGCTGGAATACTACAGGTAACAATTGAACCGATGAAAAAAACAATCCATCATTGCAATGAGTTCTCCTTTTCCGATCTGTTGAGGACCTTCTTTCTTGTCTCTTACTTTCTTTCCTTTTCCTTAAAGGCGAAAAAGAAACTGGTTAGAAAATCAGGTATGGGAAGAAACTTGTTAGTGATTTTAATAACGCAAAACATTTCATCTTTATCGTTTTGATTCTAAGATGGTTTTTTTTTTTTTTGTACCTTCTTCGTCCAGATTTTTCCTACTCGTTATCTCCGATGTCCTTCTGCGGTAACCGTCGATGTATTAAGAAAATTTCTAATAACAAAGTTTGCCATTCCAAACACACATCAGGTACTTTTTTTGACCTCCTTAATTTTGCTTTTAATCCTTTGTATGGAATATTTTTCCGAATGAAAAAATGGAAAGTATCTTTAAATTTCTGTTGGGTAATATTTCTTTCAAGGTTGAAATTATCCGCAGTGATGAAATCTTAGACGGTCAGCTGACAATGAGAGAAGTGTCCCGGATATACGGGCTATACGCTAAGGTATTAACAAATAAAGAAACTTTCAAGGTGCTCTACTCTGCGTAAAGCGACTGGAGAACGAAAGGAGTGTGGAGCAAACACGAAAAGAAGTAGGGGCTTTCCTTTCCACTTTTTAAAGTCGTTTTCCTGGTTGTACGAGATATCTGAGTAAACAAAAGAAAAAAAAAACGTGAGAGAACTCGGGGAATTGGTCAGCCATTGTATAAATTGTGACGCGTGACACCATTACATCGTGCATCTGTATTCTGGCAAGTACGCTGTTTCAGCCGATCAGAATGTGCGTTATTTAGAAACTCAATTATAATATACAATAAAAAAAAGATAAAGTTGTATTATATGCATACATGCAAAATGCAGAAATGCATACAATACGATACAAACACTCTTTTGAAACACTTTGCACTAAAAAGTGGCATATTGAATAATACTGTAAATCGGTTGACCACTGTCAGACTGACTTCAGCATATAGAATGTCTCACCAAGACGTACTTATTTTTTTTTAGTGGCTTCTTTCAAATAGTGTTTGACATTTCAATTATATTCCCACAGTCCTTTCTGGATCTTGAATACGCCATCTTGGAAGTGGGAGCAAAGGAGGAACCAACCAAACCACCAAGAGAAGAACTCGATATTACTCGATGGAAAAAGATCAAGATTAAAAAGAAAAAGAGAAGAAATAAGAAATTGAAAGAAATGATAGCAGCAGAACTATTAGCAAGAAATGATACTGTTACAGAATCAAAAACTGAACTTCCAAGTTTACCGGAAGAAGTCAACGACGAACCTTTGATCAAAAATGACATTTTGCCAACATTTCCCGATACACCCCCAATGAATCTTGATCACGTGCCGTGTTCGCAACATATCGATTCTCTAGCATAAAGTTACGTGAACAACGCGTGATCGATTGATAATGCGATTACAAATTGCTTTGCTAACCGGGTTTTCCGTCAAAATGGTAAGTTTCCATGGTTTGAACCTGAAAGAAAAATTTGGAAAAGTGTTCGGGACCCTTACAATAATTTTTTAGCACTTATCATCGAATGGCGCCATCCAATTCAAACGAACAAAAGCTCTTTCTACGTTGGAGTAGTTACGGCGAGATTTTTTTGAAGATATTTGAGCTTCTCCTCCATGAATCTCTATGGGAGTCTCCATCTTTGCTTCAGGCCCTTCTTCCGAAAACATATCTATTGTCATCGTTAAAGGTTTGAACAAGAATATAGAGAAAAAACATTAAAAATTGTTTCTTAAGCGCTGAACAATAACTGATGATAGCTAATGTTTCTCGCGTTCTTTGTTGTCTCTACAAGTGCAATTCTCAACTACATTTCTCACTTTCTTCATTTCCTCATTTCCTTCTCGCGGCTTTTTCGCCTGCTTTCTTGCTCTCTTCTCCACCCCTCCCTCCCTTTCTCCTCCTCTTCGGTACCCCCTCCCCTCTTCGTTATGTCCCTACTACTTTGCTTCCTTGCTTCGTCACTTCTTTGGCCGCCTCGGTAAGAACTCACCTATGGAAGACAAGTTTTTTTGAGAAGGGAGGATATCACTCGAAGAGCAGTGAAAACTCAAGAAAACAAGCCAAAATATCATCATGGATCTATTAATGGTCATTTTCAGTAGTTTAATTCGAGATAAGTAAAGAACGATGCAAATTCTTGCGCCTCGGGGCATAGTTTAATTTAGATTTGGAATAAATACAATATCCAGGCCTTGACTGAATATTATAGCGGGGGTAAGTTTCTTAAGAATCTGTGATGCCGTATTGGCGGCGGTAAGATTGAAATAATTTGAGTTGATTAAGAAAATTAGCCACCGTAGGGAGTTTAGAGAGCTGACTTTTCGAGCGTTAGCCCTTCGTCAGAGTGCTCTGTACAAGGGGCTAACGTCGAAACGCTAAAAAAATACATATAAAAAATAAAAGATTTGGAGTTAAAAGTTAAAAGTTAGACAGAAGAAATAATTTAACACAAAAGTACTTGAGGTCCAACAACACTTAATCAGTTGATATCGAACAAATGTCCACTGAATTTTATCACCTCGTCATTTTGTGAGAAAGCTGTACTTTTTACACCAATTGATATGTTCAAGGCTTGATAGATATTGGGGAAAAAGGCTGAAAAAAAATAAACACAGTAAATCGAATAAAAACGTTGACTAGTTTGTGCCGGATTAAAGTGAAAGAGGTTTACATAATCTAAAATATCGACACAAAGCTAAGCATTTAGGGCATGCAGGTAAAGAAAAAAACAACTGAGAAACCGATATAGAAAGATTATCTCTCTACGGAAAATATGATATGTTTATCAATAATACTACCGAGGTGGCTATAATTAATTATGTAACTTAAAAGGTCACGGTGGTTATGCGGCAACTCAAGACCGTAGCTTGACTACGAGACACGACATATGTCGGTCGGCATTTTCCAAGCCAATTTTCATTTCCCTTATATGTTTTTATATATTTTTCCTAATGCAGACCTTTATCCTTTTCTTAATTATATATTTTATTTTCAAACTCGTCCACAGTGATGGCCATAGTGGTTTTCGGCAGGGTGAACATGTGCCGTCGTTCTCTTAAGCCTTACCTCAAATTTCACCAACTTTGTTCCAAGAAACTTGAAATGGTAGAAATAATCAGTAACCATATTTCAATCCTAAGAAGGATGAGTTTCAATTTCGATTCTTCCTAGTTATTTAGTTTTACACGGCTGGGCTTATCGTGAACATGCAAGTCATCCATAAATATTTCTCGTCTCAGATTCAAAATATTTCGTTTTCGCAATATTTGAAAAAATCTCTCTATGGAGAATACTGACCTTTAACTTTAGTTGATTTCCCAACTGCCGCTAAAACCTAAAAAAACAACATTAATTTTTGAAAGTTGTTTTGCATCTAACAGATCGATGTTTACGCTCTATGCACCTCAGGGGAGACTGGTGCGACTGTCACGTGATTAAGCATATCAACAGCAACGTGTGTCTATTTGAAATCAACTCGAAGCCATCAAGAAATTGTCAAGAAAAACACGGTAATTTCTTAAGTTATATCGAGAATCTTAGCCTAATTTTCACAGAGACGTTAGATAAATTATTTAACTTTTGATGCAAAGTATTTTTTTTCAGATTGAAGCGATTTTGGTCGTATATTTGTTCTTTAAAATGTTGCGTTATTTTCAGTTATCGGACCGCAATGCAGATCATTTCGTGACCAAGATGCGTCAGACCAAATACATCTAACGCACTCTTTCGGCGAAATGGACATTTCATCGAATACAATTCTATCATCACTTAGAAAAGTTATCTCACAAATAGAGACAATTTAGAAGATTGGAAATCGTAAATGCTCTGCTCGGATACGAACAAAATTACAACCTTATTTTCGCCGATTGGCAGAGCTACTGATTCCCGATTGAGAATATTGGCGATGTGGCAAATTTTTTAGACAGTAGATTTTCTGTGAGTCGCAAGTAATATTCCTATTTTCGATAATGATGTTTTATTTGTCATCTTAATGGGCTCCGAGCTTGGAAACAATTCTGGGCTCTGCCGTAAATTCTTTTGAAACCGAAAGAGAGAGACCAGAATGCATGTTCCAACTTTCCGTTACTGGAATAAATTTCGGGCTTGAAAATTATGCGCTTCGTTTGTAAAGAATTCAAGTCGCACAACAATACAAGGAATTTCAAGCTCGCTTGTCCTTTAATTGCTGCCCTTTGATAGATATATCGAGGTTTCGTTTGGATTTCCTGTCTTAGTTTGTTTCCCATGCTTTCGTCTGCTGTCACCTGAGGTCCTTTACGGCCCCTCCGCTAAATACGGTCAGACTTCCAAACGCAATCGATAAACATTTATACTTAATGTTGATAGTGGTTAATACAAAACGATTAAAAATTTTCTATGTTTTTAACCTTCGGCTTTCAAATAGCTAGAAAACAGTCTAAGAACTAAACACTTTTCAGGCCAGAAATGTTGGCCAAATGTCGAACCCAATGCTTACCTGTCATGATAAAATCTTGAACATATTACTGAACCGCGGAACTGTGATCTATATCAGTTCCAAACCATCTTCACAAGTACAACTAAACCAAATGCCACCATTGCACTTAAATTGCACATACCTAATAAAAGACTTAGGGTAATAAATCTACACTAAAAAACTACGCCAAAATTAAGCTTAGGCTCTTTACAGTACGTGAAATCACTTCGTTGGCCGAGATCCACTCTACAGGCTCGTCAACTGATGTAAAGGAGATCGGGTGCAAGAGAAAGCTTGTAGACACGTGTACTTGAACCCTATACTTTGGGATCATATTCTAAATTTGTCAGTAGCCTGCATAGCTGGCTTTTTTGTAGGTGTGATTTCTGCCGTTTGTTTTTTCTGATATTCGATAAAATGAAGGCGACGGAGCCTTAATAGAGCCGCTAGCAAACACTGATCTCGCTGCTGAAAATTCTCACGAATTCCGTCAGCTATGCAGCCCGTTTTAATAAAGCTCGTGGAAAATCATGGCACTTAGGAGCTGTAAAATTAAATGAAAATAACATCGTTATATTTAGAACGTCAGAACCGTTTAGTCCTCAGTTCAAAGGTAAGCAGACTTCAAGAAAATGAGAAAAAACATTAAGCAACTAGGCTTTACAAAAGATTAGTGGTCGAAACTTCCGTGCTATTTATCATCGCTCTAGAGAGAAAAAATCTTGTGAATAGAATTAAATACAAGCCAAGGCCTGTTTTATTAAAAAACATGATTTTCAGTTCTGTTTCGACGAGAATAATTCTGTTTCACAATCGTATTGCATCTCTTGCTTTGGCGAAATTATTCAGTGCCTGGCGAGGCTTATGATTTAAGTTCCATTGCAGAGATTTTAGCCCTAGTTTTTCTACCATTTGGATTCAAAGTTTGTCTATCGATGTTCATAAATTATATTTCTTGTCGACATTTCTGTGTGTATGGAAATATATGTTCAGCTAATTCTGCTCGCACTTTAACCGATGATGCCGGTTTTTCTGACGGTCTTGTTGTTGGTAAAGTTTATCAACGATAGAGAAGCGTATCCGGATCTTTGAAGGAAAAAATTCAAAAATGCCTTGCCTCAGTTGAATTAACTCTTCCGCTGTCACTGTGTTGTCACTGAAGTGAATTTATTAGCTTGTGGCGGTTGAATCATGGCTTCGTGGCCGCTAAGGTTCGTGTAGCTCTCTTATAGAAATTTAAATCGCTGTTTACTATCATTCCTTAGAAGTATGGCTAGGTCGTGTTAAAGAGACTGATGGTGTCGCTTCCTATGTTGAAGAATTTTTTCTTGTCTTATGAAGGAAGTGGAAGACATAATTTCGACGGAAGATGTTACGGTCCGTGAAGATCCAAGATCTAAACTCTCACATTGTGTGCGTGTTATGTGGTGGATATTTAGTGGATGCTACAACTATTGTCGAGTGCCTGCATTCTTGTAAGTAAAACGGTAGTACATGGTAAAAAGTATAGTAGCAAATTTTAAAATGGCAAATTCTCGCTAAGAACCTAAAATGGATAATTTTACTCCGATTCTAGACTTAGGGCTGTTTGAAACCTTTCCTCTAATCACCGCAACAATTTAAGCCAATTTTAAGAGTTTCTCTCATCCTTTCCCTAATTTACTTCGCCAGTATAAGATTACCTTAGATTTTCAGGTATTCGAAGACCAGTGCCTATCAATAGCAGTTTGTTTGCAAAATACGATAAAAATTCCTGCAACAAGGAAGTCTTACAGGAACACGGAACTTGAAGCTCCATTGAATAAATTGACTCTACGTTGGCAGATGATAATCATCGGAATTTTTTGATCAGCGAATATCTGTCAGAATTGCTTCATCAGAGAGTTTTTTTTTTTTTTTTCATCTTCTCGTGGTGCTGCCGAAAGCTAGCATTGGACGGTACTGAACTCGAAGGGAAAAGTTTTACAGGTCTAAAACCACATTTGGCTTCGGTTTTATTCCGGCTTAGTATGATAGCCTAATCGGATTGCGGGATTGTAATCTTCTACAAAAACACTAACACTTCACCATAAATACTCGTTTAAATTTGCGTTATGTGTTTAAAGGAACATTTGGTAGCCCAAATTGATAAAAACAATCGAGCCAAACTAAGTTATTTGGCTGAAACGGTTCGCAGCCGAACTAAGTCTGGTTGTTTCAGTTATGTTTGTTTATCTGTTTATTTTATTTTATTTTTTTTTTTCAGTTTGTCGCAGCTGCATTGTAAAATATCTCCAAGCATCTTATCACTGTCCTGTTTGTGATGTTGAAGTCCACAAGACTAAACCACTGCTAAATATCAGGTTAGCATCAAGGTATTGTAAACTTCATAAAGCGCTGTTCATTCCTAGTGAGTTTAGATTGTACCGAAAATCTATCTAAAAGTAGGGAAATCCTAGTGTTAAGAGTGATGATGAATATCGTCATTTCCGGAAAACCTGCAAGTTGCGAAAGAAACAAACAAGAATCGTTTTTCTGGTCAAATAAAAAAGCAGTTATAAGATGCGTTTAGTTCTTCATCGATGTAGATCGACAGACGAACGTTCGAAACGTCAGCTTCAGAAACTCTTTATCAAATTTTCTATTTAAAATGTAGTTTAACTCACTGGTTGCTGTTTTAAGCCTCTATTTCAGTTTCGTTGCGCGGTTAAAATGAAAGAACTTCAGATATTCTCGTCTAGAATTCCCTAAACTGCGCGCCGAGAAGGAAAAGTTGACATGTTTGGCTGCACCTCGTGGCTTACAAGCTTTTCTCGTGTTTTCCCAACATCCCGCGTGGTTCATACCTCACCGACGCAGCACGACAATTCGAAAAACTTACCCCTTTATTCATTAAGATAATGATCTGAGAGATCGGGAATAGAGCAAGACTAATTAAGCCATAAGACAATAAAAGCTTAGCTTAATTGTATTTGAAAAGATAACATGAAGCTCGTTAAAAAAAAAAAAAGATGACAATAGCTGAGACGTCAAACTTGGCCGAGTTGAATTATAAGTAATTTTAGTCTAGAAGGGTTAAAACCTGTTAAATAACAAATCTTCTCCGTTTGGACCAAAAATCATTCAGTGATTTTTTTTTCAGGCCAGACCGAACTCTCCAAGAAATTGTCTTTAAACTCGTTCCTGGGCTGTATCAAGGTAATGTAACATTGTCGTGACTTTTCTATTATTCACAACCAACAAAATTATTTTGAACTATACAGCAAAGGTTGTAGAAGCAACAAGTGACAAAGGAACTACAGTTGGAAAGGAATTCATGCACTATGTCAAATAACAAGGAAATTTCAGGGCAAAGTTCATGAGATCCAATCCTTTTGCGCTATGATTATACATTTGGTGATTTTTACGTAGGGCAAAAGTTTTTCAATGAGACGGTTCCGGTAATTCCGATAGACACGGATGGACTCCAGTGGATTTCGATTGACTCAGTCGGATTCCATCCGACAAATGGATTCCATCGGAATCCATCGAACAATATTTCTGCCTTCTCTGATGTTCATCTGACTTCCGATACTCTTTCGCGTCATGACTTCCGGTTATCTCACTTCCGTTGGAAGGTGTCAGGAATAGACTTTTGCCTATTCAATTGAAAAAAAAAAAAAGTTTTCCATCGGAATCTCTTGGTGTGTATTGGACATATATGACGGTTTTCGTTTATTTTCCCCATCGCATGTTACAGACTCAGGATTGGGACTCGGCAGCTTTTCTACGACATGCTTGCAAAGTATGTTAACAGCAGTTAACGTCTCACATGAATTATCTTTGAAAAGTAGTCAGTAGTACTTCACATATGTATTATTGACTTTATCACGTCTGGCAAAGACAAATCCCTGGCCGGTCAGTTCAGCCGGCCATCGCAACGCCCGAGAAGTGTTAAGCTTTCTGTCAAGTAGCGAAGACCTTCTCATCATTAGAAAAATTCTTGTTGCTTTGTTTAAATTCTGCTCTGAATTTTTCTAGCTGAGCTCAAGCTTAGAAATGAATTCGAAGAAAAGCAACGAGAAGAGAACAAGCCGCCAGGTAATTTTTACTGATATAAATGATTTAAATACCTTTACACCTTGTCGTCTTCGCTCAAAATTAAACCGAGAGAGTGCTTCAGGCTGAGGAAACATTTATCTCGATGAGACAGTTAATTAACAGCTAATCACCGAATCGAAGCCACGGTGGCTAGTGGTGGATATCAGGGAGTTTAAGAAACGACGACGGCGACGCTGAGGACAAAAAATGAACTTATATTTTACCTACGAATCTCGTGATGCTCTAAAGTCATTTAGTTTGTTTCTCACTGTCAAAACTATCTCGAAACTTTGTTCTCAACGTGACGACGCTGAGGACAAAAATGAACTTATATTTTACCTAAGAATCTCGCGATACTCTAAAGTTATTTAGTTTGTTTCTCGCTGTCAAAACTATCTCGAAACTGAATATGGAACACGGCGTTAAATTAGCAATAGAAATTTTAAAAAAATTATCCGTCGTCCTTCACGTTCTCCACACAACGCAAAGTTTGGTCATTTCACGTTGTTGTTTGCACGTGCGCAGCCATTGTTCTGCTTCTAAACCCTTTTTTTTATTGACGTTCACGTTGCCGTTGCCGTCATGGTTTTCTTAAGCTCCCGATTTACCAAGCCGCGTTATGAAGCGGTCGGGTAGATACCCACCTTTAGCCGCCGATGCTGATGTGAAAAGTTGTTTTATTATATACTGAAACAGTGAGATAATATAAAACAAAAAGATGCACTTGCACAATGGGCTCGTGCAATTTTGTCGTCTTTGAAAAATTTTAACGCCAAATTGCACTCGAAATTACGTTGTTACCCATATTTATTAGCGAATTCAGCTTTAGCGTGGAAGTAGAGTAAACGGTTAGACGGCGTGCACGCTTTTCTTCCCTTGTTTAGAGGAAAACGAGGCCGTGAATGAAGTCACGGAGAAAAATGAGATTGAAATGGATGATCCAGTTTTCATCACTCTGGAATACTACAGGTAAGGCTTACAGACAAAAGCTGCTTTGTTTCACTGTGGCTCGTGTTGGATTGCTGTGAGTCAAACAATACACGTTAAACAATTTTCATTTTGGATCCTCTTTCTCTCTGTGCAGGAGCAAGAGAAACTGGTCGGAAAATCAGGTATGGTGGACAATAGGAAATTCGAAACGGAGCTTATTTTCATCTTTTCATCATCTCGTTGGGACGAAATGTGGCAGGGAAGGATATTTGGACATTCCTTGCTGAACTCGTGGCACCAGTAGTGTTGAATTTCAAAAGCCTTTCTTCTGATATGCTGCTGCTTTACTATTATAACGTCTTCTGTCGCAAGTTTTACGGCATCTAGTAAATCACCGCACACTTTATGCCTCTGTGTACGCTTGTGTGAACACAGCGGTCGAACGTCGGGCATGCGCGAAGAGATCAACCTGGTCAGCCAATTTCGAAGGAAAGCATTAGAAACAACCGCTGTCTCGCAAAAAAAGATTACAGCTCGCAACTTAGTTCACATATGCGCGAAGACTGACCGCTGTTTTATCTCACATCAAAAGAGGACAGATTGTTGTTCCTAATTAAAACCACACAACTGTCATGTGACTTTTTTTCTAGATTTTTCCTCCTCGTTATCTACGATGCCCTTCTGCGGTGTCTGTTGATGTGCTGAAAAAATTCCTTGTAGCCAAGTTCGCCATACCTAACACGCATCAGGTTAACAGTTATTTTGCTGTTGATTCATTGCTTTCTTAAGTCAGAGACAAGGGGTCCAGCAGTCGAGATCGACAGGTTCTGCGAATCGTGTCCTAGATCACTGCATTGTGATCTTGGATAAGACACCATATACGTTTAACTCTTAAGACGCCTCTTTCCACAAAAGGCTGGCAGCGGTGTCCATGGATACCAGAAACCATCTAAGAAAATTTACGAATTGCTGATGGAGGGGGGGGGGGGGGGAGAAGGCGGGGGCATTTCAGGGGTTTCATAAGCTTTTTTCTTAAACGGCTGTCGATGGTGTAATTGGCGGCTGTTCTCGGAAATGGGGTCATAAAGCCCCTTCCGAGGGGGGTTAGGTGTGGAGGCAAGTTCCCCGGGAAATATTTGAAATCCAGAAGTTCGAAAATGTAATTTCCAGCATTCTGGGCATGAAAAAAAAGTGCTTACGAGCTAAAAAGACGGTCCAAGAGGTCTTTCAGGCGGAGATAGACCGCCGATAACCACCTTTTATTGAAGCCCCCGGTAACTTGCGGTACGCGAAAATCTAGTATTGGGTTATTTTACTATATCGATGGTCCTTGTTGCATCATGCTGAGAAAATAGGGATGATTGTCAACTGTAATGAGCCATTGCGCTCTTAGGAGTTGAGTCCGTTTGAGTTGAGTCAATTTGTGGGTCGGTATTTCCGAAAGCGCAGTTCAAATGAATGATTTATATCATTAAAAAGAATGAGCTCGTATGACGTCAAGATTGAACAACAGTAAACGGCTTGATCGAAGAAAAAAGAAAACAGGAAAATAAATTTCGATCACTTTGACATCATGGGAGAAGAGCTGATATTTTTACAGTGTGCGTTTAAACCATCCCCATAAAATTGTAGTCCAGAAATACTTATTACTTAACTGGATTTTTGTTGTTGTTCTCATTTTGCATCCAAGGTTGAAATGATCCGTAGTGATGAAATACTAGACGATCACCTGACCATGAGAGAAGTTTCCCGGATGTACGGGCTATACGCTAAGGTAGGTTTGCCAGTTTTTAACTTTGTTGTTGGGCAAAGATTTGTAATGGAAATAGATAGAAAATTAATTTATAAGACTTACGAAAACAACGGAAAATAAATGTTATCCACTTTAACCTGATGAAATTGTTCTTAAGGCTGGCATCGAAACTTCGTTGCTTGTCAAAATTTTTAGCAAAGACAGTTGTAGATTTTTCAATTTTTATACAAAAATTAATCACTGAATGGTTAATTTGAATTTTCTCCTCCCACAACTGCAAGACTGACTGACTATCCCTTTACACCCTACCACGAGTCTGCACATTCTCCATACTGATCTCTATACATTTCCTAAGGTGCTGACGAGGAGAATTCGTTTAACAATCAAGAGCCTCTTTAGTTGGTGATCATTTTTTTTATTCTCGTGAGTAACTGAGGGGTCATTTTGTAAGGAGAAATTAGATGCTAATTACTTTTTAATTAGGTAATTTAGGGTAGAGTTGAAAACGTAAATTGGCCACCGTAAAGGGTAAAAAAGCTGACGTTTCGAGCGTTAGCCCCTCGTCAGAGCTTACTCTCAGTAATCAGAGGGCTAAGAAATTTTTGTTATACTTTTCCTCAGTCCTTTCTTGATCTAGAGTATGCTATCCTGGGACACTCGACAACAGAAGAACCCTCTATACCAAACAGAGTAAAATTAGACATCTCTCCATGGAAAAAGATCAAGATTAAGAAGACGAAAAAGAGAAATAAGAAACTGAAAGAAATGACGGAAAGAGAACTCTTACCAAGAAACGAAACTGTTACTGAATCAAAAAGCAAAGTACCAAGTTTACAAAATAGTGTCGATGGACTCTTTTTGCAAAATGGAAAAACACCAACCTTTCCCTATGCACCCCCGAATGTTGATGACATGCCAGCCTTGAAACAGATAAATGCGCCCGTATGACGTCACACGAGGAGCACGTGATCACTGCGTGTCATGAATCGACAGATCGGTACGCACGAGGGTACACGTCCCTGCAACTAGTTTCCGACAACTTCCCCGTTAATTCAAGGAGTTCAAGGGGTGTTCCAAGCGTTTAGTTTGTACACGGGGTGCGTCAGCTCAGTGAGATGAAAATAAAGGCGACGAGGAAGGAACACCAGAAAGGCTTTTTTTTTAAAAAAACAGGATCACAAGCGTCTTCTTATATTCCCCTCTTGTATTTCTTTATTATCGCTCTCTATTTTCTGCCGTAATTATTGTGTCCTAACTAAATAAAATCGTGATACTGGTAAAGAGTTCTGAAAAAATCCCATCGTTTCGGCTAAGAAGTCTAGCCTTTACCAGGGGATAGTGATAAAGAAAAATTTGCTAAAAGCACATAGTATATGGAGAAATGAAAATTTGAACAATTTCTATCAGTCAAGTCTTATCCTTTAGCGCTTAAGTCAAATACTCGTGTGGCAAATGAATGCCATCGTCTTGATTGCCCTGCTTACAAACCGCGTAGAACATAATATTTAAGATTTTCTTGTTCCTTCGTATGAACTGTCCAAGAGAACTTGTCATCATGACTAGTTACAAGGGTTTGATTTTTCTTTGGTGGCTTCCTCGCGGAAGAAAAATATCCTGAGCTTCCTTTCATTTAGTAGACGGCAGGGTTTGGGTTTGAGTTGGCAAGTCTTTGTCGGATAATTTAAGTTAAGAGAATCTCAACAGCTAACCGCACCAGAAAGACATCTAGAGGGAGCCGAGTAAAAATGTCTCGGAGGGTCATGTTACTTGAAGGCGGTTAGCGCCAATCCAGGGTTTAAAATTATACTAGTATTCGCTTTTTCTGTCATAAAAGCGTCAGGAGCCGGCTCCCTGAGCAGCGTTTATTGTATTACAATCGAACTTCGATTTTCTGGACTCGTGGGAACTGTGCTGAATAGTCCGGATGATCAAAAATATGAATATCAATGAGCCAAAACTAAAAATGAATACGTATCATATAGATCATTGTACATCATTGTTGACATTTGCTAAAAGTAACCTGGTATTTATTAAAAATAGGACTAGAGAGGTGAGTCTGGATAATCGAGGTCCAGAGGTCTCTCTGCATCGCAACACTCCGACAGATGTCGACCCATTGAAGTTGTTAAAACCCGGCGGTTTGCTAGACCTTATCGCTTCCAAGATCCCGCTAAGAACAGATATCTTACAGCTATTCCTCGAGAGCCTACTAAATCATCTACCGATTGCTCGGAGTTTGCCGTTCCCAAGTGTATGTTCATCAATATTTGCAGTCTCGCAAAAACTAAGAACAAAGTGCGTGCGGCGGTTGGACTTGAGGCTGACTTGCGATCTAAAGATATTGATGTTTGTGTCGTATCGGAAACACACCTCAAACCGGCACAACCGGATGCGATTGTAAATATTGAGAACTATTCCATCTTTCGTAGAGACAGAAATTGGAATGGCAGAGATATGCGCAATAAGGGTGGGATTGCTATATACATCAGGAACAATCTTGCAGTAGAGGATGTTTACCGCTCTAGTCTTTATGAATTAATTTGTATAACTCTGCGACTTCCCAAGGGACATCGATTTGTAATATGTGGAGTTTATCATCCCCCAAAATTTAATTATGCAGAGATCGATCTAATGAATCATCTTGTAAATACCGTGGATAATATACTAGACAAACATCCACAAACAGTTGTGTTGTGCGGTGGCGATGTCAACAAACTGGATATCAAACGCTTCGAAGAAATGTCTGGTTGGAATGCTCTGGTTAATTTCCCCACCAGAGGGAATTCTTGTTTGGACAACTGTTTCACGAACCGCACGGATCTCTTTTCAAAGTGCTATCCCTTTCACATGCTCTCCAAGACGGATCACATGGGAGTTATTTTACCACCCGGTATAAAGCTTCCACCTATCCGCCGTAAAGTATACGTGCGTGACCAAAGGGCTCATAGAAAGCGTGATCTGTATATCGCGTTGGCGAAGGAAAACTGGGATGATATGATACAGGAAACTGATGTCGATGAAGTGGTTGGTAGGCTCGAAAATACCATCCTAGGGCACCTGGATAGCTGCATGCCTCTGAAAACAGTGCGCATGTCTTCAAGAGACCCGGGCTGGATGACTCCGCTCGTTCGATCGATGATACGAGCCAAATCACGCATATCACTCAGTAATCTAGACCGTCTTAAAGTTATGAATAAAAGGATCTCTGAAGTCATTTTCAGAAACAGAAGGGACTTTATCGCCTCTATTGGAACTCGGGATTGGTGGAAAAAAGTGGATAAAACATCTCAGCGCCGCAAGCCGGTGATTTCTCTATCTCTTGGCCACTACGAACTCAACGCGTTAAATGACTACTTTGGTGACCTATGTACTGACCACGCCTACAGAAAGCCAACACCTCTGGAGATTAGTGAAGATCAGGAAGTCCCAGAAATCTCAGAGCGACAAGTCCTGAATTCTCTTATGCGTATAAAGAAAACAGCAACCGGACCAGATGGCATCCCGTATACTATATGGAAAGACCACGCCGAGCTATTCGTTCCAGTGATCACCTGGATTTGGAATCTGTCTCTTAGAACACACGCCTGGCCTGTCTCTTGGAAAAAGTCAGACCTGTACCCCTTGCCGAAGGTTGATATACCTAAGGGAATATCAGACTTCCGCGGAATAAATGTGACACCTGTCATCGCAAGGTGCTTTGAGAAAGCTGTCTTAGGAACACACGCAAGGGAGACCTTCGATGAACATTCTGGGATCTCACAGTTTGCATACATAGAGGGAGGGAGCTGTACCAATGCTCTACTGACTATCCAACATACTGTCAATCAATATCTTGATATCCCAGAGTGCAAAGCGGTACGCCTATTCGCTATGGATTTCAGCAAGGCTTTTGATAGTGTGAAACACGATCTCCTCTCACACAAATTGAAGCAACTCCCCCTAAATCCTTTTATAGTTAACTGGTATCTAAGCTTTTTGGAAGACAGGCAGCAGAGAGTCATTAGAAATGGGTTTATTGGAAAATGGAAAAGTGTCAACAAAGGTACCACCCAAGGAAGTGTCAGCGGGCCGCACTTGTTCAATGTCTTTCTCAGTGATTTAGAGATACACTTGGACAATAAGAGCGTGCTGGTAAAATATGCAGATGATACAACCATTATCTCGCCTGTGATAGGTGATAATGACAATTCTATCGCACTGATTAATCAGTTTTCCCAGTGGTCTAGAAGTAATGGTATGTGTAGCAATCCATCTAAGTGCAAGGAAATCATTTTCCGCAAGAAAGGTTGTACAATAGAGTTTCCGATGGTGTCTGGAATACCACAGACAAAAGAGCTTACTATTTTAGGGGTAACATTTCAGGAAGACAGTAGGTTCATAACACATATTCGGGAAAAACTAATTAAAGCAAACAAGTGCCTGTTCATTTTAAGATCTTTAAGGAAAGAAGGGTACAATCAGGCCGAAATAGACCATCTGTTTCTAAATCTGGTTCTACCAAATATATTATACGGGCTGTCCGTATTTGGCGCTGTAAATTCCGAATTAACAACAATCCAATGTTTCTTAGATCGATGTTATAAGCGCAAGTATACATCCGATCACATTAATGTTTATGAATTGTTAGTTCAACAGGACACGCGTATCTTCAAGAATGTTTTTAATAATACAATACACCCTTTAAGAGCTATAATGCCAAAAAAGAAATTAACCAAGTACAATCTGAGGAAAGAGACAAGTCACCATCCTAAAATAAACACTGATAGGTTCAAAAACACGTTTGTTAATCGCTTAATTTTTAAACATAATCTAGTCTTATAATTTTTATCTTGATTTTCTCTGTAATTTATATATATGCCTTCTTTTAATGTTGTAACATAGGATATGTGATTATTTATCTTATGACTTAATAAAGATTCAATAATAATAATAATAATAAGATAATCGAGGTTTGACTGTAACAGTTTGCGGTATACTATCTTAGAGTAAGGCAAAACTGGATGTAATGAATTGTAAGAAAGACTCAAAACTGTCTGCTTAGCTGTAAAACTGGTTTGAGAACTTACTCTGACCCTGAGTTGGCTGAAATATATTTTCATCAAACTGGCCCAAAGTGGTTTTACCACTGAATACTTTCTCCCACCATCAGTGAGATAAACCCCAACGAGCGGAGCGTGAGCGAGAAACTTTAAAGATTTTTGTGATCCAACAAACGATTAAAAAAAGTCAACGGCGGCAGTCGGCGAGTCTTAAAGATGACAATTTCCGGTGATTAACGGCTTTCAACGAGTGGAAGAACTTAAAAAAAAGCTCCATGACAATACGTGCGAAAACAAGGAAAAGGTTGTGAGTAAAGTTGAAAGAACATCTATTGAAAGTGGGTTGATTTTTTATCTTTGATTTTTACTGCACTTAATCATGGTTGAACTCGGATGCTTTCTTTGTCTTAGAAAAGGGAAATCAAAATAGGTTATGATTTCATCGACTTTCAAAGAGTTATAGTTTATACTAGTTTGTTCAAAGAAAGTGCGCGCGCAGGCCTTTCCGTGAAGGCACCAACCCGCGAAGGTCTAGAGTGACTTCAAGTAGGTAACTAGTTTTGAAATATAGAGGTAAGTGTTATTCTAATTCTTGACTAAAAAAAACTGACAATCTCTTTACTTCTTCTCGTAGCTCTTGTTCAAATCAGTCCCTTTTCTACTGAATAACTGTTTGAGTAACTGTATGTAGTTTTTGGCGGTTAAATCTGCCCCTTTTCGAAACTTTACGGCAAATAAATTGTTTTAACATATGTGTCAGTATCAAAATAGAAATAACCTTGTCGACGTCACTCTTCCTAAAGATGTTTGGTGGAACTTAAAAACGTGTTCCTCCAATTCAGCCTATAAATAAACTATACAATGCTTCATTAGCGTACGTGTTGCTTTCACCTACGTTTTTGCTAAATAAGCACTTAATTTACGCTTCATGGTTCAGTTCCTATTCTCGGAATGAAGCAAGAATTCTTGGAGCGCGGTCGTTGACTGAACTTCCAAGGCAAGTCTGAGAGCTGTGCTCCTATCCAGAGGCATTGCACAGGTTAGGAGTTGCTCAGGGCGGTTCTGCCTTCCATACTTTACACTGAGAAAAGAAAGGAGAAAAATAGAACTGTGGAGAGTTAAAAAAGAACGACTTTGAAAGGATGAATAGACTTAAATCAGCCAATCAAAGAGCAAATATAAATACTTTTGCATAACGAAACACCTCTTTTAAGGAACAAAGTCGGAAACGTGACAACTAATCGGGAGTGTTCAGATACAGCTGTGCCTTTTTTTTCAGTGCTTCAGGATTAATCAATTGCTGAAATGCCAAGCGCCCGAAACTGGATTATTCTCTGACCATTTGAGGAGTTAGTGTCTGAGATACGTTCGAAATGTCAGGAAATTTCACAAACTTTTGCTGTACCGGGCTGGCCACCGGCGATAATTTCTCCCTAGTGACTTCAACTTGGCCGTCAAGTGCTGTTATTTTAACTACCATTATCATGATTGCAATCAACCTGGCCACGATTGTTGGAAACGCTTTTGTCATCGTTGCACTGGTTAGGATGATTGTCCTAAAGGCTATGCCAGCAAACAAACACGCTATCGTATCGCTGGCGGTTGCCGATCTTTTAGTGGGCCTACTTGTCATGCCAGGCGCGATAGACAGTGTTGTGGCGGGGAAGTGGCGCTATGGACGAGTGTTGGGAAAACTAAACGCTTTTGGAAACTTCTCGTTCTGTATTTCATCTATAATGCATCTAGCGCTGCTTTCTGTTGACCGTTACGTCGCGATTTCTCGTCCCCTCGTTTATTCATCAGTGGTGACCAAGAACAAAGCTCGCGGTGCTTGTTTATTGTTATGGATATATTCGACATTATGGGCATTGCCGCCTTTGTTCGGCGTGGTTACCTACGAGTGCTTTATTCCTTACATCGGGAAATGTATCGAGACGGAATGGCTGCGTGGAAAAGGAGCTGTTTTTTTCACTGCCTCAGTGGTTTGCTGTACGTATGGGGCAGCGGTTTTAATCATGTGTTGTGTTTACCTCAAGATATTCAAAATAGTTTCGAATCAGTCCAAAAGAATTTCTGCAGAAGTAAAAAATGTTCGATCAATTAATGGCTTGGAAACGAGAGCGAACGTTACTTCAGCTAGAAAAGGAGCTTTAACAGTCCTTATTGTCATTGGAACTTACATGGCGTGTTGGTCGCCATTTTGTTTATTACTTATTGTGCAGACTGCTCATGGCAAGACCACAGGGGGACCAACTGCAGATCTAACAACGATGTTTGTTGGCTTTGCAAACAGTGCATGTAACCCACTCATATATTCTATTAGATACAAAGGTTTTCGCTTAGCTGTCAAGCGCATGTTCACGAGGAGCAATTAATACATGAATAATCTTTCTCGGTCGGAAAGTTACCATGCCTGAACGGATATTTAATCAAATTTTGGGGTTTTTCCTAAGGATGGTTTTAGCCTACGGCGGAGTCGAAGTCGGAGCCGTAATCAGAAGCACAGAACAGTATGATCTGATGAAAATGAAACCAACTGAATCGAAAGAAAGATATCGATGTCGCTTACAACTTTGTCAGGTCTACGATCCAGTGAAAGCAAGCTGGATTGTCGGCGTCGTAATTCCTTGTTTGATATCAGGCTGTACTCATAGGGCTTGAGAACTGGTACTGGGATTGGTTGGTTCTTCCGCTTCTGCTTGGGACTCCGACAATCTAGTTTTCACTGGATCAAAAGCGTTGGATTCATTAGCGAAATTGGAAGAAAGTAAAACCGTTCTGTTTCTTCCGACACCATCGGGCTTATGACTCAGCTTACGACTCTGATTTTCGATTTTCATCAGGTCGGAAGTGCTTTTACGACTCCGGCTCCGTCCCCTACGAAAACCAAGCTTCATGCAGATCTATTTTTCCCTTAAACCGACCATTGACTGTTAGTTATTTTAGTTTCAAACATTAGTTGGAACTTTTATCCATAATTGGGAAGTTTCTTTGGTCGATTTAGTAAGAACTTTTCTTAATTACATTTCAGTGTTTTGTGTCACTAAAAGTCGTTCTATTTATTTATTATTTATTGAATTAAGAGATATGAATAAACCTTTTGTTCGCAAAGACGAAGGAAAAACAAAACAGACGCATGCCAATGTTATTCTCCAACGTCAGAAAACTTCAGGAAGTCAGCTCCACCTTTGCAAAACTTTGTCAAAAATGTTCATTTTACGTTCCTAAAACATATTTTAAAGTATAAAGTCTGTTGGAGTGAGTGGTTACACAGTCAATGCTGTGTAACCACTCACTCCCGCAGACTGTTGACATGAGAGCAGAACGATTCGGGCAAACATTTCCAACTACGTTCATGCAACTGATTCTTCTACAAATTCTGCGTGGGTCTCTTTTTATGACTTTGGCGGGTTCCCTTGCTGTCTATACTATATCTTGAACTGGGTCTCAATAAGGTTGACTGTTAGCCTTAAAAAGGCAAAAAAAAGTAGCCGATAGGCGTAAAAATTGACATGTTTTAACCGTTAGTCGTGGAAGATGTTAACCATGAAAAAAAAACTGCAACTGTAAAATGACCAAAATTTTAATCGTTAGCCGTTAAAGCCACCACGCCAATGTAAATTTCTCTTTAGGAAGCCCGGCTGAGAGCCAAATGTAAAATGGTTTGATAATAGTATCCGAAAGTAAATAACATCTCGAGAGTATTTGTAAAGTTTATTACAAGGCAATCGTGTATCGCATATTTCTAAAAGCAGCGCTTGTCAAACAATGAAAATATTTAGGAAGCGAATTAAGAAGGGATGGCTTTTATCTTTGACCTGCAATTCTCTTTCTTATATTTTTAGTTTTTTAGATATGATTTCGGCAAAGTTACCAGGACTTCCGAATTTCGTTTTCTTTTTTGCAAGCTTACGCTTTAACAACTTTACGTAATACACGAGACGCGTGGTTGAGGTGGTTAAATACAGGTTCGACAAGATTAACGAAGACTTAGTTTAAAGCAGGAACAAACCTTAAACATCATTTTTATTGAAAAGAGTTTTTCCACTTAACAACCCTTTACAACCTAACATCAGTGTGCACATTCTCCATAATATTCTCTAAACATTTCTAGGGTTTTTGACAGAAAAGTAGAGATGGTAAGTTTTAAGCTCGGTGAAAAATTAAGAAAGATGTTTTTTCGTCTTGTCGTAATAGACCCCGCTCACCGAAGAGTCTTTGTGGCTCAGTGGTAGAGCATCGGAGCGCAAATCCGTAGGTCTAAGGTTCGATTCCTCATGGGGACTCAGAATTTTTCTTTGTCCCACGCTCGTGACAAGACGAAAAAACATCTTTCTTAATTTCCTAGGGTGTTTAAAACTCAGGATATTCTGATCATTTTCTTTAATCTCCTTATTCTTAATGTGTGTTTCGCGGGTGATATTGTAGGGAGATTTAGATGTTAGCCACTCTTAGGAGGTCAACGAGTTAAAGCAGAGCTGGTTGTTATTACATGTGGGGATCAATATCAGTATCTGGGCAACTGCCCACCTACCCCTCCCCTAACTCAACAACAGTCAATTGAAAACAAGTTAAGGTTAATGTTGGGTTAAGGGAGGGGTAGGTGAGCAGTTGCCCAGATACTGATATTGATCCACATGTGGTAACCATTACAAAACATTGGAGCCTTTTTCATTATTCAAATAAAATAACTTAGTCAGTTAGTTTTTCACTCTTACAGGTTTTCTTATTTCTTTCTTTTCTTCCCAAGGAAGTTCACCAGCCTTCTTGTAACACAGTCTATTTAACGTCTAACATGGGGGCTGGCGCTGAAGATCCTTTATTTTTTTACAATTTGAGCCTGAAGATGTTCTTAATATATTCTTAAAGTTGTATGGTATAGCCGTATTTCAATAAATCAATGTTTAAAGATGTCCTTATGTATTTGAGTTATTTGTCCTGTTTTGTTTACATTTCTTTTAATTTAGTTTATACTTTTCAACCAAAAGAAAGAGCGAAATAAAAATTGACTCTCAGCCTTAGTGTGTTCTTGAAATTTTGGCTAATCTCAGCCTGAATGTTCATGTAAAAAAAGGTTCTTACAAAGAAAAAAATGGTGCACGCCTGAAGACAGATTACATCTCTTAGCTGAGGCTCTGGTGGTCCAGCGGTCAGCTTTCATAAATCACATTTCTTTTGTGTGCTAAAATATAAACAGGGATCCTATTGTGGTTGTGGTTGTGGTTGTGACATTCCAGAAGCTTGGATACTCTCGATATAGAAAAGTAATTAAAGGAGAATTTGGTTCATCAACTGAGTTGATAACGAAAATTGGCCTGACGTTTCGAGCGTTACGCCTTCGTCATTCGCTCTGGCGAAGGGCTAACGCTCGAAACGTTAAAGAAAACTCTTTTTCACCTACTTGTCTTTTAACACTAAAAGCAGCGTATCAATTGTTGCGTAAAAGAGGAGAGAGATCAGTTCTCTGTACTTTTCAAGGATACCTTTCAACGAAACTTAGAGATTCCTTTGGAAACCTCTGTTATTGGAAACACAATATTTTTACCCAGCCGATTTGGAGACCCCACACAGATTTGACTCCCTTTGAACTTAGCTTTCTTGAGAGACTGTAGGGGAAATGATTTCGATCGTCGAACGAAAAATTATTTCACGGTCTCAATGCGTTCACATGAGCGTACACAGGCAAACAACGGGCAACTGAGTTCGCAAGTTCTAGACTGGTACGGGAGTTTCTTCTTCCTCGGGATCAACTTCAAAACTTGGAGGAGTCTCAGGAAATGTTGGTAAAATGACACCCTCCGGAGAATGTTTTACGGGACTATCCTTTTCAAGCCTTGTACAAGGCTGTTGGGGATCCTTTCCCTTTTCATCCATAATCAACTGTTTGGTTTGTGCCCCAACAAAATGTTCGCTTGCTTTTGTTTCATCTCCATCTTCGTTGCATGTTCTAAGTTTTTTCCTTGGCGGTTCTTTCACCTTTGTTTCGGTATCCTCCTTACAAACGTCCAAGAAAGAGTACTGGAGATCTAGGAAAGACTGCAACACAGTAATATTTAGATTTAGCCATCAGTGAGAAAAACCAAGGGAACAAAAGAAACTGAAAAATTTAAGATATTGTGCCATTCACGAACAGCCGAGAGGTTAAGAATTCATTTGCAATTTTCAAACAAGGAACAAAGATGTTGATTGTATAATATCATCCTGCTGTTTTTTGTTTTTAGCGATAAAATATGGTTGGTTAGCATTAACCGCAAAGATAGCAATATTAAATACATTTTCAGACGTATCTTGATATGCGATGTTGATCTACTGGTTCAGTAAGTTTTAAGTTTTGCTTTGTGCTACATGTACAAGGTTTTTATATTGAAACAAAAGAACATGGAAATCAAAATTGGCTAAAAAAATTCGAGTCTATGGCATAAGATAAATTAAACAACAGCATTTATGTGTCTAACAGTCTACAAATCAAAGATCGTCAACAAATAGGGCTATACTTATATGGAACCGCACTTAGCTGTAAATTTTTGGGCATTCTTTGGTCATATAGAAGAATGCTGAACTTTCGTGTGGTATGAGGTGCTGAATAGGCTAAAATGAGTGTAGCTGTAAATCATGATGAACTAGCTGAGTCTTCTTACTTTCGAGTAGAGTCCATATATTTGCGAAACTTCCTTCATCGTCAATGAGTCGTCAAGAAGCTCGTCTGAACGAACAAGTTCAGCCTGAAAAAAAATTGGCAAAATGAATCGATCCATAGATGGGCCAATCAGTCGAAGAGTCAATAAGTCCGTTAGACAATCAATAAGTCAATCCGTCTTTAAATACAATTTGGTTTTATCAACTGAGTTGATAATGTAAGTTGGCCACCTTAAAGAGTTTCAAAGCTGACGTTTCGAGCGCCAATTAACATTATAAACTCAGTTAATAAAACCAAATTACACGTAATACCACCCCCCTCCCCCCCCACTGACGCAGCACCAAAGTTTCTATACTATCTTACCCCCTTACTTCATCTATCTTTTCATCTGTTTCTACTTATTCACTAATTTACTTATTTACCTGATGTGTGTTAGGGATGGCAAACTTCATTGCAAGGAATTTTTTCAATACGTTGACAGTCACTGCAGACGGACATCTGAGATAACGAGTCGGAAAGATCTGAGGAGGAAAAAGAAAGACATCATACAAAAACGTACTTTGCCGTTTGATGACAATAACTAGAAGACAATCGTTGTTTTGAACATAACTTGAATAAATACGGTCAAACATTGTCTCTCGTTTTTCAGTCAGTCAGTTAGTTTTGAAGAAGCTGCGTCACTGAATGTCTACGCCCACAAATGTAAGTAAAAGTTTCAAGGTCGTAAATTTTAATTCTTTTTAAAGATCACCATACTATATCATCCTCGTTCTTCTGTTCTATTGCCTTTATACTCAGGCGAACGATTCTTTTCTGGAGTTACGTATTACATTTAAACTGAAATTCTCTTTGTCCCAAGAAATGTCAGCTTAAGACTTCAAGGCCGCCGCCCGCGCTGTTTCGCTTTGTTCGCACCCCTTTGTTAATTTTCCTGAAATGTCGTAAGGTAGCTTCCTAGAATTCCACATACATCATCGCAAATCTTGCGGTATTTCGTATGCAACGAAAGAGTTCATGTTTGCGTGCGCTCTAAAGGGCGTGAGCTGTAAAGGCGCTGTGTAATGAAGCGCTGTGTCCCCAATTGTGATCAAACTGATTGTCAAAGAATGGTACGTGAGAAAGTAAAAACAAACCTGGCGTTCATTCCAGATTTTTTGACGCCTGTTGAATAACAAAAAGAGGAAATGATGAAAGTAAGTTATAATCATTAGCACACTCTTGAATTTGTAGCTTGAATTTACACTCTCATAATCAGAGAAAGCGTTTTTTTTTTTATCTCCCATCATATCTTTATTTTTTCTTCTTTTTCTTTCTTTTATTTTACCAAAAGTTGGTAATGAAAACCGCAGTACTACTTGAAGTTTACGGTAGCAAATTTTGATCGCCCCTTCTCCGAGGGAGTAAACTAGCTTAATCAGGTGACTCTTTGTTGCTGTTAGCCTCGTTATTTTCCTTGGCGTTTTTAGACACAGCCGTAACAGAACTATGATCCATCAAACATTTTTGCTCGCACGTGATGGTCTAAACAAAGCACGTGACCAAATATCCCCATGCTGAAAGTGGGCGATATCCTAGAATATCACCCAAGCGATACTCCCAAACATTTTAAACCTAACGTCCACTACAATAAGTCTTCGTTTCAAATTTAATTCAAAACGAGAGAGAGTTTTGTGGTTGCCACAGAAGAGAAATCTTTTTTTTGTTCATTAAGTCGCACCATAGAACACTCAAAAGAAAACAGCCCATGCTGCATACTTTAAGCTGTTCGTAAACATTTTTCACGGGCGTTTCAAAATTTTAGAAGGATAATAAATACAATAGCCTCTTTTCTGTTCCTCAAAGTTCACAGTTTTCCTCGAGCTTCGCTCTCGGAAAACTGTTCGCATCTTGGAACAGATAAATCCGCGAACAGATATCCGTATATATTTTCGCACTAAATAGAGGATGTTGTTTAAATATAGACACAAGAACATGATATAAACTGACCTGTAATATTCCAAAGTGATAAACATAGGATCTTCCATCTTCACCTCTGCGTTGTTCTTTGATTTCGTTTCACAATCAGTTGTCGCTGCCTCAGTTTCACCTGTCAAGATTGTATTGATTGAAAATAAAAGTTTATGAAAACATAAGAAATAAGAAGGTTCTAAGCATATACTTCGAGAATAAGGAGAGTATCGATGTTCAGCTCGTAAAAATTCTAAGTATCATGTTTCAACTGCCCTTGATGATTCGATTATTCTGGCGATATTGTGCTTATTACAATCAAAATCAAGATATTGACAATTTAAATACTCTCACAATAAAGATATCAAGAGATTATTCTTAAATTTACATTTAAAAACAACATTGCCTCAACAGTTAAGGTGTGTGGACTCTGGAGGAGCCAGCTCCAGGGCCGAGTTTTTCAAAGCACGGTATTAGCAATCCGGGCGGATTAACTTGCCCTAGCAATGTACCGTTTGTTACAAATTAAATGTATCTAACGTAAGATTAATGTTAAACGAATTTCAACAAATTTCTTCCTCTTACCTTCGTTTGTAGAATTTTCCTCTTCTATTTTGTCTTCGAATTTTGTACGGCGATTGAATTCGTCTGTAATATAACAAAATGGGATAAAAACAATAAGATTTCTCTTACTAACTTTTTTACTGTCTCGTTACTTTTGATTAAGGAAATACCTCTCTAAGGTTAGACAGATTGCTTAAGCTCGCAGGTGTGGTATGTAGATGTGCTGATTGTTCCAAATTTTCCCGAGAGTGCTGACCAAGATCAAGATTTGATTTCCTTGCGAAATAAAGAGAAGCGTGGGAAAACGGAAGCGACCAAGTTTCGATTGTTTCTAGATTTGCAGCTGATTGGTTGAGAGAGTCATGGTGCGAGTTTTCTAGACCAATCACACAGCGAAAGGAAGTAAAACCAATGATTGGTCCAGGAAACTAGCACCACTTTCGTAACCAATCAGAATCAAAACTAAAACCAATTGTGACTTGAGCACTAGATTTTTCTAGCACTTCAAACGGTTTGATTATCTTTGATATTTTCCCTAGTTCTGGCTGGCTGCTGTGTTTACTTCAGTTTGGTTTTACGCCACTCAATCATAAAGCGCTCAACAAATATTTCTCGATTAAACCGCTATGCAAAGACTTGTGCTCAGATTCCTCTCTCCCTGATCGATGGAGAAGGCCTGTCGCCGTCCATGAGACTTTACTGCCATTACAATATATATATCTTACTAGACGTTTTGGTTTGTGGTATTGCTGAATATTTTTACACGCGCGTGGTTTGTGTTTTGACTCGCCCTACGTACGGGCTTGTCAAACTACGGTACAACTCGTCTAATAAGTTATTTATTATATAACTGCTTTTTTTTCAGCTGAGCTTTTCTGTTCATTTCTCGTAAGGCGGGAAAAGCAAAGCGGATGGAGAAGCGTAGAACGCACAGCCGACTGGTTAAACAGCCTTTTTTACATTACACAATAACCAACTGTCCAAATAACCGTACAATATCGCAGGATATTTGTACTTTATTCGCGCGTTATCTGTACCCTACTTTGTGAAGTTGGATAATAATTTATATAATAATCCTTCTTACCATATACTAATCCTGGAACAAGCTTGTTCACAATTTCCTGGAGCGGTCGGTCGGGTCTGCCATGGCATAGAAGACAGAGAAAGATGGATTAAAACACTGTAACACCCTCTATCTCCAATTACATCTCGAGCTTCTATTTTTCGCGTACCCTAAATATATCGTTTTGAAAGCCCAACCCTCGATATTTTGTACACCCTGCTATTTCGAGCAAAATTTGTGTTGTCAAGAGTTTTACAGCTGAACTACTACTACAACTACTACGGATCAGGGTGAGAAAAATTCAGGATTTGCTGAGGCATAGTTATTCTGAATTTGGACATCGCTTGCTGAGTTTCGCCGCTTTGAAATATATCTTATTAGACGTTTTGGTGTGTAGTGTCGCTAAGTATTTTTTACGAGTTGTACCGTATGTTGACGAGTCTGTAGGCGAGTAAAAAATAGGGCACAACTCATAAAAATACTCAGCGATACTGCACACCAAAACGTCTAATAAGTTATTTGTTATTCAACTGCTTTTTTTCTGCGAAGTCTCTCTGTTCATTTCTCATAAGGCGGGAAAAGAAAAGCGGATAGAGAGGCGTAGCGCGTGCAGCCGAATGGTAAACAGGTTTTTTTACAGTACGAAATAACCAATTGTCCAAATAACCGTACAGTATCGCAGGATATTTGTACTCCATTCGCGCGTTATTTGTACTTTGTACAGTTGGATATTAATGTACGGTTATTTGGAGAAATGAGCAGAAAGACTTAGAAGAAAAAAAAAAAGCAGTTGTATAATAAATAACTTATAAGAGGTTTTGCTTTGTGGTATCGCTGAGTATTTTTACTCGTTGTTTGTATTTTGAATCGCCCTAAGGGCTTGTCAAAATACGACACAACTCCTAAAAATTATTCAGCGATGCTACACACCAAACGTCTGATAAGATACATTTATTGCAGTCCTTTTTGATCACAACTCTTTATTCAACGTGTTTTATCGCATTGCTGAAAATTAACCACACAATTCATAATTTTTATTTTTCGTATGATAGATTGTTTATGCTACAATTAAACAAGAATGAAAAAACGGACCGCAAAGGTGAAAGTCTACGAACGACCGAAGCGAGGACTTCCGTCGTTAAGTTCTTATATATTTATCTGCTTGGACAGTCCTAGGGTAGTTTGGGAAAAATTCAAACAAAGCGTCTTCTACAGTTACTCACCTTATATGAAGCAGTGGTTTGGTTTTGTGGACCTCAACATCACAGACAGGACAGTGATACGATGTCTGGAGATATTTAACGATACAGCTACGACAAACTACAGAAAAAAAAGGTACAAAAATTAATACTTTGTCAGCTCTAACCGTGAAACTCACAAAGTAAACACAATATATTATGAACTTATGGAACTCTGTATGGATTGCATTACTTTAAACTTATTGAGAAATTTTAGAAAGAAATGAACGTATATTTTAGACGGCTAGATCTCACGAGAGAGTACATAAATAATTAAACGTAATATTCAAAATTCAGCTATAGGAGTTGAACAATTGCAACAAGCACCCCTTTACTTACAAACCTCAACCAGATGTTTGCACGGCTAATTTTTATTGGCTATCAAAGACATTCTATAATAACAACAAGAATCGACGATTAAAATAAATCAGTTTGTAAACAGTGTGAACTTACAAGAATGCAGGCACTCGATAATCGTTGTTGCGTCTACAAGGTACCCAGAACACAATACACACATCAAGTGAGGATTTAGTTCTCCAAGCGGCATCTTAAGCAAAGACATGTTGGCGATAACGATGGCAGCGACGATGCGTGATCTCTGAGCGCCACTGTCGTGTGTCTAGCGAGAAAACTTAAGACTTCCGGTCTGCTGTCGTGCGTGTTCAGCAAAAAAGCGAAAGACTTCCTCTCCTACTCTCTCCGGTATGACAAAGGATGATGAAAACTGAAAACAGAAATGAATTCAAAATTGTCAGAGGACACAACTAAAATCACGCTATACGAGCAACCTATCAAAATGATAATTCAACGATCTCACAACTGTGTCCCGTATGCGTTATTTCTGATTTCTTCTTCCGTTGCCAACGGCTTCGAGTAAACCGTGATGAGTTTGAACTGGCTGCCAAAATTTGTGATTTCGTCACCTATTTCAAGGTGATTTTGAGTCGCGGTTCCTTCAGAAGATCAGGTTATGAACGTCGATCTTCAAACTTGAAAGTTTTAGGAGAACGTTGACGCAAAAATGAGAAAATAGCTAAAGGTTGTTTTTTTTACTGTAACTAGAGAACTAGGGCAGTGACGTTCTGGAAACGCGAACAGCAACCGGAAGAAGAATAAAGCTAATTCTCGTGCGCTTTGACGTCAATGGATCGACTGTACAGTCGTCATTTCCATACTTAAAACCAAATTGTGCAGACCACAAAGGTACAGAGAGCATCAGGAATGATAAGTTTTAACTTCTGGCTTCCATCCGCGCCTCTAAAACATTTGTAACTTTTAACTTACACGTAATATAATTCTTGACGTATTCTTCAACCCCTTGCCATTAGTAAGGAAATGAGGTTGAGCTTGAGGATCGCTCACTGATTTGATTTCAACGTTAACATTGTAGCTGTTAATTTTATCATTTTTGGCCAAGGATAATTTCATCGATTGCGAAATATTACGTTATGGGAACCGTTTTCTCAGCCTTCACATAATACAATTCCTCACATATCGTTGAAACACTTTTTATCAACCCCTCGCCTCCTAACATCAACATACATATTCTTTATACATTTCCTAAGGTGATAACTAGGAGAATTTGTTTCACAATCAAGAGCTTCTTAAGATGGTAATCATTTCCTTTATTCTCGTAACCTTAAAGTGTGATTCATGGGTGATATTGTACGGAGAAATTAGATGTTAGTCACTCTAAGGCGTCAAAGAGTTCATGGAGAAGTACAGTTGCATCATGGCTTAAGGATTTCACTTTGAAGGTTAAGTTGTAACTGTTCTTATTTTAACCATTTGTTGCCTGAGGTACTTCATGGATCGTTTTTGGAATGCTGTGAAAGAGAAAAAAACACCTGCCTCTTTGTTGAAAGACCCGACAAGTTTTTCGCTGTTCTTCAGCCCAACGAAATATATTTCTCTTAAAAAGGATGCAATGTGTTACGAGACTACCTCAAAAATCTAAATCTGCGGCAAATCGATTATGTACGCTCATTGCGAATGAAGACATTTTTTCTCAGTTTTTGGCGACCCTTTTTTTTAACCCTTGTTACATGCTCAGTTCATGCCTAAGCATAATTTTCTGGTCTTCTCACGTTTTTAGTACACCTCTCAGTTAGTATGAGCGCCAGAATTGATCAATTTACCGGCCCGTATTTCACTGTGCAGTCCCCTAAATTCAAAAGTTTGGTAGAGTGGAAATCTTCCCCCTCTGTTTGAACCCAGAGTTGCGATGAATATTTTACTTTACAGTCCGTACTGTGGAATATCGTATTTTCGCTCGACGGATGTATGGTCCGCACTCTTCACGCTTGAACCGTACTTTTTACTGTGAGGACCTGGAATTCGATCAGTTAGAGGTTTACAATGCATAGAAAAGGCACAAGCAATTATGTCATTGAGAACGCTGAATATTCCAAAAGGCAGCAATGATATGACAGACGTATCATTTGGCGAAGACTCAAATATACCTTGGACAACGTTGAAAATTACTTTCCTAAAGCTCAATGATAAAGATCTTTCTTAAGAGAAAAATAAATTTCAGAGACAGAAAATCATATGACATTGCAACAAATTTAGCTTCAGACCAGCTTAATAATATGTACTTATACCTTGACTAGCAACCGGTCTATTTTCTTTAAAGAAAAGGTAATTGTGTGCACCTGTTATATTTTACGGTTTACTACAGCCTCATCGAGTGTAGACTAAATCTATCTTAATTCGATTTTGACTAGCAGTTCAGCCAGCAATGCAAAGTTGATAAATCACTCGGTTTTTAGATAATGCTGAACCATACCGATATTGCCGTAACTTTTAAAGTATTCACTGCTAAGAAATTCAAGCTCAGTATGTGTAGTCCGTCAAAATCGCTACCTTACCCAGCAGTTTGAGGAAAGCCCAAACGCTTACATGCAGATTGCCTGGATTCGCGCATGAAAAAAACTGCTCTTGCGATTTATTGCAAATTAAGCTCGGTTTCAGCAACTGCGCTGTCATTTACGAATCGACGAAAACTTTTTAGCCACGTAAAAATATGATCAAAGTTCTAAGATAAGCTAAGAAATTCGCATTATTATGTGGCGATTGCTTGTAAGTTCTCAACAGCTGTATTGGAAATCTGTATTATGGTAAATCAAAGCTCAAAATAAGCAGGGGTAAGTCAAGGAATCATACTGATTACCACGAGGAAAGCCTTTCTTCGAAGATCTCGACATTACTTTTACAACGATTTAATAAGTGAGTGAACCAAATTGTCTCCACACAAAACGGAGTATGTACAATCTATTTGAGGAGGTAAATTCTAAAGAAACGTTCTCAGAAGCAAATGATCGCGGAATAGAAGTTTGTATGTCATATTTCACGTTCCTGAAGGAGTTCAGATTCTCTGCTATTAAACTGGTGGTTGTTTATCACAATCACCAGGTGAATCGGCTAGCTGAAGTGGGAATTCAGAAAAGCCTAATTGAATCGAAAGGACCAAAAGAAGGTAAATAAATATGTGCCAAGCGCGCTATGTAAATTTATCACAAATTCGTCATTATTTAACACAAGATATGCGTAACTAGTCACGTTTTGTGACGAACTTAACCTTCAATGCTTAGTATTCATTCTAAAGATATCTTAGCCGAAGCGATAACAAAACAAATTCTCTGAAAATTTTGCAAAATCTACCGACTGTGGCAACATAGATGCATTACCTAACGAACAAGAACAAATCGAGTTTAAATGAGAGGATTAAAATGGCGAATTACCTCATAATTTTGGTGGTACTGCGACTCGCATATTCCGTCAAAAGAGTGGGTTCACGTTGTCTATTATGCAAATTACTTAAACCACGTGACTCCTCACTAGGGCCAGTTCCCTCAATGGGTCTCAATAGAGTGATGACTTTATCGCCTAACGGTTAAAACGTTGATCAATTTACGGTCATCGTTTGATATCTTTCCATTGTTGTCACCAGAAAAATTTTCACAGGTAATTTCTTTTACTAATAACGGTAAATAAGCCCGTGGCACTTGGTTACTTTCGGCACCCCAGGGGAGGGCGTTTATTCGAAACAGAGCGCTTTTTTCTTTTATGTGAAACAGCAGAATTTGCGAAACAAAGCTTTGATTGTGGATCGGGAAGACTGGAAAACCGACTTGTTATCCCTAGATCCTTCCTGGCTAGAACACCTAGCCAAGCACTCGTCGCAAAATTTGAAGACGAGATCATCTATTGAAGGAACTGCGCATTCACGTGGACATAATAGTTGAGAGGCTGGAACGAAGGACCCCCTTTGAGTGTGCAATTAAAGGCAGATGAACCAAGGTTGATGGCAGTGTAGATGTACTCTAACAGCGTTATCATCGGAACAGAACAAGGGCGGTTATTGGAATGTGGTGTGAGAGTACTTACTCAATATGGAAATTCATTAGAATCGGGGCGCTTATTAACAAAAATAAATTCGAGGGGGGCGTTTACCAAAGAGGGGACGTTTATTCTAACGAAGGCGGTAAATCTAATCATTACGGTAACCATTAAATCCGAGCGAAAAAGAAATTCGGCCCGTAACTTATTGCATGGACCTCGAGCTCGTATAGTAAGAGGTATTTAAGTGGACCCATTCTTGACGCGAATTAAGTGTCTGAATAACCGAAGCTGGCCACTGGTGAAAATGGTTCTCGTGACAGGTCGGTTATTACGCTTATTAAACCAGTTAACAATACACATTTAGGGAAAGAAAAACACTGAAGTCTTCCTTCGGATTGGTCGTTGTGTTTATGCATGCTCGAAGGACATACTGCATGTGATCGAAACAGTCGAACCATTTACCATCTAGCAGCTTCAACCCATGTAAGGTCGTGCAGAACCAGAATTAAATCACTAGTCGAAAATGAGTAACTTGTTCCAAAACCTCAGACTTAGAAAATTTGACTTCCATGTAAGTTAAACATTTCCTAAAACATTCTACAGCTTTAGAAAGCGGATTAAAATTTAGTTTCAGCTGGATTTTCATTACTGGACCAGAAAAGCAAGTCCGGACAATCGAAAATCCGGATAATCGAGGTCTGGATAATCGATGTTTGACTGTGCTTTGATTACACATTTACAGTCGACAAAAATGGTGTTACATAGAGTTTGTTTCTACCATTCTTTCGCCGATTAACGCAAAATGATTTATCTTGACACTACCTCTTAGACGAACAAACCAAAGACGCAAACATGGTCTATTAAGATTGAAGGACACAACTGTCTGTTCACCTTAATTTTATTTTTCTCTGACGAAAACTACAAAAAAGAAATGTTCTCTATTAGGTTCAGCGGTAAAAAAAATGACCCGGCAAAAAATTAGGGTCTATTTATTCGAAACATCATCTTTTTCATCAGTCACTGTGGCTAAAACGTGTAGCGAAATCTCTTCAGTTGCACTCCTTAAAAAAGCAGCGCTAGACGTGTAAACTTTCCTTAACAAATACGCAATTGACGTAGAAACATCTAATATAATCATAAAAATAATGTCTTTGTTTACTATGTCTTCACAGGGTTTAGGACTGAACATCAGTTATTGGCAGCCTTCTCTACACTTTTACAAGCATCTTTCAATTTTCCAACCAGATCCTACCAGGACAAAAATAAAATTTAAAAGTCATAATCACATACAAGGGTATCTAAAGACGAAAGGGGGTAGACTTTAAAATAAACTGTGGTGTTACATCGGCGGCGGGTATCATAATATAATTTGGTTTTATAAACTGAGTTGATAGTGTAAATTGGCCACCGTAAAGAGTTTCTGAAGCAGAGGTTTCGAGCATTAGCCCTTCGTCAGAGCGAATGATAAAAGGTAAAAGCTCCAAACCTTAGCTTTAAGAACTCTGTACATTATCAACTCAGTTAATAAAACCAAATGATGTGAAGAAGAGATTTTTATGCATCTACACACATTCTGCAGTGATCGGATTCAAGGTTTGCTTATAAAACTTTAAATAACTGAACATTCGTCAACCTGTAATTGCTCCATTGTACACGAAAATTGTACATCTTCTCCCTTGGTCTTCCCAGCTTCCTGCGACGAGAAAGAGATGAATTAACTTCTCATTATGATATAAGGGCATTTCCAGGAATGATTGCGAGATAAAATAATAATTTAAGAGGACACCATTATGACAATGATGTGTCAATAGCAAAATAAATTTGGGGTAAAACCCAGGGAGACACGGTCACGTAATGGTTAACGCACTGGACTCTGGGTTGAGGGGTCTGGGTTCTAGACCTGGCCAGGTCATTGTGTTGTGTTCTTGGGCAAATCCCTTTTCATTCACAATCCCTCTCTCCCTGACCCAATAGTATAAATTGGTACTGGCAAATTGTCTGAGAAGCTTGATGAAATGCTGGGAGGTATCCCATCCAAGAGGGGGGAAGTGGTGATACTTCTAGTCACTTCATGCTAAAGAAACCATGGTATGCTCCAGCTGAGTGGGCACTAGGCTTGACCACAGACTTTACCTTTAACCTTACATAACACTCTGCCATTTTACAATGTGGCCCAAAAGTCACTTCTTTATGTAAGAGTGAAGCCTTTGATATGAAAATGATATTTCATTCTTGAGCAAATGACTAGCTGTTTTGGAGGTTGGTCCATGTATTCTAAAGTTTATTGAGATTGGTCAGAAAACAACTGACCTGGCAGAATCAAACAAGCTTGTTCAGAGTTATCTGAGTTTCACAGTAAATCTCAAGAATTAGACATCATAGCGGGTAATTAAAGCAAGAATCTGACATACCAGTACATATAGAAACCAAATAATGACTACCAGGGATTGTAGAAGTTTAAGTGACTGAACATAGAAACTAGAATTGAAATGAAGAAATTCAACAAACTGTACTTGTACTGTACCTCAGTTTTAAGTGTGATGAGATATGTGGGTTTGTTTACTTTCTCCATCTGATTATTCTGATAAAAGACAGAAATACAAGTAAAGAAATAATTTCAAGAAAAATTAGATGTTTGTTGTCCACGTAGTGACACAATGCAGGGCATCCAAATTGTACTATGAAACTTTTTCTGAACTTCTTTGCATTTATTCAACTTTTTGTACCAAAGGAGCTGAGTTTTTAAATCAAAGTGGGTAAGTTCCTAGAGAGACTGTTATGCTACATAAGTGGAGGATATTACAGAAATTATTTGGTTTCATCAACTGAATTGATAATAAATGCAAAGTGGTTATTGCAGTGAATTTCAAAGCTGACATTTCAAGCAATAGCCCTTCAACAGATGGAATGAAGAAGGGCTAATGCTTAGAACTACAGCTTTAGAAATTCTATTCAGTGGGTGATAAAACCAAACCAGTTTACCTTAATGTAATAATCTAGTCTCCAATCCACATCCACAACATGAGGAAATGAACCTCCTGTTCTAAAATTAGAAGCACAGCAGAAAATCCTCTCAATCAACCAACAATCAATCATGAAGAATCTAGTAACTTGAAAGTCTACAATCCATTGAAAATTCTTTTTTTTTGTAACATAGCACGTGTTCTTGCCCTATATAAGTCCTATAATGAGCTACTATGAACAAAAGCTTTTCATTCACAGTTATCGGATAACTGGATCAAATGTTCTCACTCAAACCAAAGTATAAAATGTGGCGTATTTTTGACCAGCCAATAGGGACGTTTCTTTACTTTTTTTTTTGTGCAGTGAGAATTTCACACTCTATCACAATAAAAGGCTTCTTGGTGCAGATCCTTGTTGTCACTCTGTTATGAAAGAATTTGCTCATGCTTTTAGCTGTGCATATATTGAGTCATGGATGCACTTGGGAAGTTTGGAGAGCACTCAAAAAGCTGAAGTTACTCTTGGCTGCACCTCAAGCTACTCTTACGCATTTTTCATGCTCTCCAAACTTCCTGCATGCATCCATAACTCGATATACGCACACTAAGCACAGACAAATTCTTAATTATGCTCCAGGCTTAGATCACTTGTTAATTAGTAGCATGAAATTTATTTAACACATTAATTCCAATGGGGGACCAAGACAGAATTTCTCCTTACAATATCTAGCAGACAAAGAATGAGAATAAAGAAAAAATAACCATGAGGGGACTATTAGTGGATCCACTACAAAATTCTCCAAACTAACATCATAAGAACTGTATAGCAGACACTCATGAGAATTACAAACAAGATATTATGAGTGAATGAAGGAAATCAATTACCTGGCAAGCAGTGCTTCCAAATTAGGTTTATAATCCTACAAAGTTCAAATAAAGACGAGAGAAAAAGTAACAGTAAGTTACAGGATGACAATTTTCTCCTCAATACGATCAACAGATGTGTCTACACTTGATACGATTCAACTGCTATGAAGCTGTATTGTACTTTGTAAGGTAACCTATACCCATGTATATTAACCCTTTATCTCCCAAGATCTAATTGTTAATTCTCCCCTCCAGCTGCAACACATTTCCTTGTAAATATGTAATGAGAATTTGGTATTACATCAAGGAAACAAATTCTATCTGATAGGTTTGAATATTCTCATTACCTGTTTGCAGAAAAGTGTATAGATATTACAGGAAGAAGTTAGATGTTAATCATTTTTGGGGATTAAAGGGTTTAAATGCTTCAACACCCAAGAGGTGACTAGCATCTAGTTTCTCCTTACAATATCACCTCTGAATCAAATGTAAATGTCATGAGAATAAAGGAAATGATCACCAACTAAAGAAGCTCTTGCTTGTTCAATAATTTCTCCTTGTCAGCATCATAAAAAATATTTACAGAATAGTAAGGAGAATATGCATACCAATTTTAGGGTGTAAAGGGCTACATGTATTTAAAGTTTTTGACCACTGAGCCTAAAATTCACTGTTTTTTCACATTCACTGTTTTTCCCAGGTGATGAAAAAATTTCAGTATGGTTCTTTAATTTTTTCAGAGAACAACTACTGCAGTTATGCATCTCAGAAGTGGTTTTCTATATTGTTTCTTCTTAAATTGAATGGTAGCCTGCATGTACATTCTTAGCAATTTGAGTTGGTGCATAAAATTAACCCTTATACTCCCAAAATCTGGTCCTTAATTCTCCCCTCTATCTGCTACGCATTTACTTGTAAATTAGTAAAGAGAATTTGGTGTTAGGTCAAGTTAACAACTTCTACTTCATAAGTTTCAGTATTCTCATTCCCTGTTTGCTAGATAATGTAAATATGTTATAGGGAGAAGTTTCATGTTGATCACTTCTGGGAGTTTAAGGGTTAATAGTTGAACAAACTTAAACAGGGGCAAAATCCAGGATTACACATAAGTAAACCTAAAAGCTGTCAGTGACCTCCAATGGGTTTAATCATAAATGATTTTTGCTAAAAAATACGATTTCAGTCAAGAATGATATGCCTTTGTAAGTAAAGCTGAGCCTCAAGATTAAGAGAAAGATTACAAGAAAAAGAGTCTTGAATAATTTCTACCAATTTTACAGGTTTTTAAGTCGTTTTAAATATATTATCTATTTTAACTTTTCATCAAATTATCCCACTAACTGGACTATTTGAAAAGGCTGCAAGATCTGATGCCTAGAAACAAGAAACCTCACAAACAACAAACACCAAAAGGTCCAAAAGGAATAAGCCAAGACTAAAAAAACCCATCATCCTTGCCTGAAATGTCTCATTTTCAGCATTTTTTTTTTATCTACAGTAAGGAACAAGGCAGTTAACCAAAAGCTTTAAGACTTGTACAAATCATTTATTTGTAATCTTCACTAATAAATTATTGTTAAAGTGAATCATGGTTCTATTGTTTCTATTTTGTTACATACCAGAAAGTTTTTTGTAAAATACTCTATTCTTTCAGTGCCCCATTTGCAGTCCTCCAACACAGAGCTGCAACACAAACAAGTAGCTTTTTAAGTAATATCATTTTGACCCTTTAAACAAAATATTGATGTCAGAAAATAAAAGAACTCTTTTGATTGAGTTTTTAAATCTCCTCATGTAATTTCAATTATTCACACATCATAAATACAATAATTGATAATCTTAGTACGAAGATTAAAAAATCTTCAGAGTACCACCTAATTGTACCAGATTATCCCTCATTTACATATAAAATTTATTTTAGTGAGGGAAAAATTTGAAAATTGTTAACCATCCGCCCCTCTTCTCCAATAAAGTGGGTATGTTTCAAAAGAAACTGCAGTGCTTGCTTAGTAGGGTATAATTTGGTTTTATCAACTGAGTTGATATTGAGAATTGGCCTCCATTAAAAGTTTCTGAAGCTGATATTTTGAGCATTATCACTTTTTTGGAGCCAATGATGAGGGGCTAACACTCCCTTCTCTCTATGCATAGCCTTTCATCTAATTACATGATGGGTAATTATGTTTGAAAAAGTTCATGTTAACCTTATAGAGGATGAATCACAATCCATCTTGATAGCCTCCAATATCATTGTCACTAGGCCAGCATATGCTTGCTTAAGAGTTGCTGAATCAACAGTGGAAATGTCTTCATCACCTGCAGAAAGAAAACAAGATCCCTTGTTGTTATTACACACAGGTAGATAAGCCTCATTACAACAGTCACCGATACCAATACAACCTTGTGATATGAATAAAGGGGGTAAGTTTCTAAAGAAACTGTGGTGCTGTGTTGGTGGGAGAGTACAACAGGGTAATTTAGTATTATCAATTGAGTTGATAACATAAATTGGCCACCATAAAGAGTTTCAAAGTTGACATTTCGAATGTTAGCCCTCTGTTAGAGCAAAGTGATATGCCAAACTGTTTCAGTCTTTTTAGGGTAAGTATTGAAATTAAGATTTTCATTTGATTTCTCTTTCCAAAATGCAAATCAGTATGGGGTAGGTGGGGCACTGACCAACATTTCCCCACCCTCATTAGAATTTGAGATTTCAACATCATTTCTGACAGAGTGCTTCTCAGAGTTAGGAAAAAAACCCAACAGAAAAATGGACTATGTCAGTAAATCTGAAGATTTTACTCCATTTTCAACAAGTCATTAATTCAAAACGAGGTATATCAACAGCTGTGAATAATATCTTTAAAATACACCGAACTTCATAATCCCCAACCCGCCCCCTGCTGGCAATCTATCAACTGCCTTGCTGTCACGATCACAAGACCATCTCTAGGCTGAACTTTACGATTAGGAAAATAAAACAAGGTAGTGACTGACTTTGTAAAACTTACTTGAACTGATCGTTAAACTTACTTTTGAGGGCATCTTCGTTCTTTTTCGTTACTAAAATATCCAAGGTAATTTGAACCAGATTTCGAAAACTCCGATCGCCCACACGAGACGAATCTCCACAAAGATTGAGCCCTTCGATTGCTACGCTGCTCAACTCCATAATTATGTTCCCTCTTCAACTCTTCAGAATACCAGCTACATATATATTTTTTTCTCCGCAGAAAACGCAGTGTTTTGATTTCCTTGCAGAGACTTTCAGAACTCGAGTAACAATTGGTTTATTCCGCTGACCATGTTGAATGAATGGACATGGATGGGCTTATTTGAAGTACCGGACCATGCTTACAAATCGTCTCAGCTGGAAGGCAGTTTGGATTATTTTGTCCTAATTATGGCCTTGTTCTTGCGGAACCCCAGACTCCTTACGAACCAGCGTTTCTGTCTACAGTTGCAGCAGGTGAGACACTGAATTGAAGGAGCCATGATTGTAAGTTGTACTGTACAGGTATACTTTTCTTACGTAATACACAGTTAGGCCAGTGGAAATGACAACTGCACTGAAAATGCAGCTGTTCCATCGGTCTCTCTGATTTTAGCTCCCAAGACCTGTCAGTAAAAAGGTTCTCGAAAGTGATATGAGTTGTTCGAAACTTATTAAATCTTACAATTTAGCTCCTTGATACCCTCCTCCCCTAAGGTGACCTTATTTACCTTTCAGATTTTTTTGGACATGGGTGGGAGATTTACCTTATCGGATTCTCAGGATTTTTAGCAAATCTGTCAAATTTAGGTTTTATTAGAAGTAATCTCGATAGTTTTTGAAATACCAGATAATTACTGCATGATCTTGCTTTATGATCAGATCAAGTGTTAATTCAAACACAACTTTATTTTTTTCCTTAGCAGGCCACAGGCATTGATATCACCTTTGACTATTTAAAAAATGGGCTAATTCTAGCTCACTGTGAGCTAGGTGGCTTTTTTTTTCAAGTGTACATACACCCCCATGTATCGGATGCATTTTGTCACAGTAATTCATCATAAGTTTGTCACACAATCTCCCCCTCCCCACCCCTACCTGCCCTTTTAAAATAACTTTTTTAAAGGGAAGAAATGAAATCTAAGAATGGCTGTGATTGTGAATGGCTTAGTGTCCTTCCCAATGTCAAAAGAATACAGCCAGCAGAGGAGTTAATTATGTGACTTTCTTTCTCTTGAATTAGCAACATGGCTGGTGTACAACTTGATCTTACTGATTCATTGTAAATACATGCAACTGCATCACTGGTCTGTTAACATTTTATGATGGAATCATTTAAGTGCATACAGTTATAACAGGCGCATCACTGACAGTGGCTTCACTTTCCAACCATTGTTACAGGTTGGTTTTGACCAGGCATGATGTGATTGCATAAATTTATATGAATCCATTAGATAAAGTTGTCCTGCCAATACAACTCCTCCACTCTGAATGATTTCAGAAAAATAAAATTTAATCACAAAAATTACTGAAAATGTGATTTAAAAAAAAGTTAATCCTTTATTTTCCAATGAAGGTTTTTCACTACTGTGATGCAACAGTGATAGCTGCTAAGGAGCCATTCCAAGTGGAACTTGTTGAAGGGAAGAAGTATTCTTGGTGCAAGTGTGGACTAAGTAAAAAACAGGTAACTTCATATGCTTATAAGGATGAGCTCACAGTAAATTGGCCAGTGTAAAGAATTTTAAAGCTGACGCTCAAAACTGCACCTTTAAAACTATTTATGGTGGCCAATTTACATTATCAACTCAGTTGATAATACTTAACAACCCTTTTTTACTCTCCCACTGACACAGCACCACAGTGTCTTTGGAAACTTACCCCTTTTATTCATTTGAGCTCACAGTAGATTATTATAACCTGAAAGAAACACTGTTTTGTTGATATTGGGATGTGATTTTCTAACTAAGGATTGACATGAAAAGAGTTACTTTCTGTGGCTGACAATTTGACAGCCTCAGGGGAAGTTTTCATCAAAATAAGATTGTGAGTCATGACTGGACAATGGCACTACATGATCAAAGAATTTCTGTGTAGAATTACCAAAAGTAACACCTATGTTGTCTTCTGGGATGTATTGTAATAACCCTACATATTGAATTTGGGGTATTCTCAAAGAGGTATCTCACTTTTGCTTGTGACTTTAAAGGATGCATTATGAAGGGAAACTCAAAGAAATACTCTAAGTTATTGTTTGAAGGTGGAAAGCCTTTCAGACCTTTTCTGTAACAGAGCAGTTCGAACAAATGGATGAAGCAATTTTTGGAGGAGGGGCTATTGCAAGACAAGACTAAATAATTGCTGCAAAAGATCTTATAAAAATTATTTAAAGATTGTGGAAAGCTTTCGTCCAAAGGAAAAGTTAAAATGGTTAAAATGAGTCGCCAATGTACATTTATCACCAAATGGTAGTGAAAGATGCAGGGAGGAGAGGACTTCAGAGCCGGTTGAAGATCTGCTTGGCCATTTATTAAAAAAAAAAAAAAATGAAAAAAAAAAAGAAAGCTTTTTTTCAAGTTCTCGTATTCCTTGCAGCCATTCTGTGATGGAAGGCATAAAGTGACCCAAATCAAGCCAGTCCGGTTTGTGGCAGAAGTAACCAGCTCTGAGATCTTCCTGTGCGGATGCAAGCAGACGGGTTCGCCACCATTTTGTGACGGAACTCATGCCACAGAAAAAGTCCAGTGTGCAGATTTATGACAAAAACTGTTTTAAAAAGTTACTTTTTATGGAGACACGTAGTCACTTGCGGTCAAACTTTGAAAAAATAAGGGAGAACAAACAATTAATTTCAATTGTCCCGCGGGTCTGTTCCGTCGCAGATCAAAGGTGACGCTAGAATGTTCTAACAACAAATAAAGTGTCATACGAGCAGTTGGTGATGTGAGTAATTTTTCCGTGCAGAAATGCAAATTCAAGAAAGGGTAATGCCCCTCCTTTTCTCCTCAGAATCTTGAACTCGCTAACTTTCGTGTCACGAGGTCAATGTTACACGCTTTCATTCTCCAAAAACAATGACAGGTTGATAAGCGGTTAGAATTGGTCTGAATTATGTGCTTGAATGAGGTTTGACTGGAATACTTTACTTCGAAAGATCCCGAAGGGCCTTGATTTCCCAGGCCCCATCGAATAATTCTCAAATGGTAAAACGTTGTGCCTTAAGGCTTGACCAATTTTTTAGCATTTTAGATTAGCCTTTGCTTGCAAGGGGAAACCACAATTCCACAACTTGCGTTCAAGGTGATTTAATGTTAGTTAAAAATTTGTTTTTTTTTTCTTAGTTAGTCTTCCTTTTTTAATGACTTTTCTATGTGTGACTCTACATGAAATACACTAAGAAGCGAAAGGAAATTGAAAAATCCTTTAGTGCCCTTAGTTAATTTATCGATTTTTTCGTTCTATTTATAAATTAATTAACTGTCGAGTCGTTCAATAAGGACTCCATACAGCTCAATACCAGATAAATAAATACTATGTCTCCCTGAAGAGTTCTTGCTCGTCTGAAAAATCCTGAAATACCGAAAAGCTCCGAACTCCCCATCGACACACCAGGTTGCGGTGTAATATGGGTAAGGCTCCTTAAGCCCGCGATCATTCTCGTGTTTCTTTAACAGTTTCCAAGTACGTCCGTCCAACGATCCTTCAAGCCGCCAATTACGAATGATTGACATACCGTTGTCTCGCCCATGTCTGAGAGTGTAATGGGTGAGATAAAGAGCATATTTCTCGCTCAAGTCAACACACCACCACGATTTTTCCTCGTCTTTGGTGCCGCTTAATGATCCGCCTCTCCGAATATCTAGCAGATCACTTGCCGAGCCTTGTTCGTCAGAAGATCGTGTGGCGATTATTCTCGTCGGAAAAGCGTTTGAGCTACTAGGATTCACCCATGATGAGGTACCAAAATTTGTTCCTAGCGCATAGATGACTCCATGTCTATCAAAATCCTTCCTGTAGTTCAAAACACCTAGGTTAAAAAAGGACAGAAAATATCATGAATGTGAATATTCTTCTCGTAAAACTCTACAAGACAGATGAGATTCTAATTCATCGGGATTTGTTTATTGGTACATCAATCGATCGGTAATCAGTCAGATTATTCTTGTTCTAGAGCGGTATATTTTGCCGCTCTGAGGATTGCTCTTCCCACGGCTTTAAACGCGGGAAAACGCGAGTGACCAAGCTCTTCCAAGGGCTTTAAGCGCGGGAAAACGCGAGTGACCAAGCTGCGATTGGATTTTGTTTAATTTGATCGGTCGATGGGGTGGCCTGAGTTTCTAGACCAATCACAGTGCACACTAATAAAATGCGGTTACCATACTTACGTCCTGGCATGCTCCTTAGTCTTGCGATTTCTTCCCTCAACGCTTCACAATGACAACGATCCAAGAAGTCCTTACGAAGTCGCGCAAAGTCTTCTTCCTTTTGTTTTTCTTTCTCACCAAGTTCAACCTTCAGTTTCGCCAGTTCTCTCAGGGCATCTGTCTTTCCTTTAGCCTCTGCCGCCATGCCTTCCTTGGCCTCTTTAAGCTTCTTTTTCTCGCGAGCTAAGTTTTTCTTCACCTTGACGAACTCATCTTCGGCTTTTTCAAAATTTGATTTTTCTTTTTTCAGTTGGGCGGAGATCTTTTGAACCTCTGATTTTTGTTTTTTCAAAAGCTCGTTTAGTTCTTCATTTTTCCCTTGCAAAATTTTCATCTCAGCAATTTGTTGTTCGTTCACTTCACACAACATCTTTTGTAACTCTTTCTCAAAGTCCCTCGTCAAGTTTTCATGTTCTTCTCTCATAACTTGTATTTCCCTTTGTAGAGTCTTTTTCTCCTTTGTATGCTCAGAGCGAAGATCTTCAATATCTTTGTTTAATGTCTTAATTTCTTCTCCAAACTTGACTTTCTTTCCTTTGATGAAGTCTCTCTCAGTTCGTAATAAGGTACATTCTTCTTCTAACGCATCACAACGCGAACATTGATTATCCTCTACGCAAAAAGAAAACAAGTAAAAATAAATGAGCAAACCGAAAATAATAATTGATGGTCTCTACCCTGCTTGACTGGACTCTGTATATTCCGATCCAATCTACACAGCTATGATACTTATGCCAGACAGTCTCGTTAGTGGTGATGATGCATAGTCCTCCTCCAAAGCCATTCGGAAAGAAGTAGATTATAAGCACTTGTGCAAAACGAGTGGATATAAACCTCTGTAGTTAGGGAAACACCCAAAGACGCCAGTTCTGTTTAAAACTTATTGTGAATCAAATACTAGTAAATTCATATTCCCCTTTCCTCCCCTCAAGCGGTTTCGTAAACCCTAAAAGACGAGCACGAACTACGAGCGACTCGTGACGGGCACGAACGACGAGCGACCTGTGACGAGCACGAACGACGAGCGACCTGTGACGAGCACGAACGACGAGCGACCCGTGACGAGGAAGAACAACGAGCGACCCGTGACGAGCACAAGCTACGAGCGATTCGTAACGAGCACGAAGCGCAAAAGACTGAATATGGTGATTACGACGACTCGAAAGACTCAAAAAGGTTAAAAAAAAAAGCTGGCGTAAAAAACCTGCTGCGTTTGTTCACAATTATTAAAATAAAATATAATCCGCAATGACAGATATACTTTACTAACTTACCTTCAGAGTCATCCTGCTTCATTTCTCTGGGAGACGTCGCTCGGTCGTGAAAACTGGCACTTCTTTTCCTTTCCAAACTTTCGAGGGTGTCCTCGAGTTGTCTCTCAAGCTCTTCATATTTTTGTTTCAAATCTTCGCGTTCTTTTGTTACATTAGCCAAGTCTTTCCTTGCCTCATCTAGCAGTTCTGTTGAGATGGCGCTGTTTTTGCGAAATGCGAGCTTCATCTCCTCGTCTGCATTTCCAATAAGATGAAAGTTTGGCTCGTACCCGTTGTAGATTTTAAGCCCCACTTGCATGGACATCAGACTGGTCATATCAGGAGAGTTGCTTTGATTTAAAGTATTATTTTGGTAGCCTGACAGTTTTTTCGCAAGTTCTTTATTTTCCTCGGAGGTCTTTTCAAAGTTTTCCCTAAGGTTTCTCAAATCATCGTCCAGCTTATCACACATTTTTCTTAAACGATCTGTTTCCTCAACGAAAACTTCTTTAGCGGACAATTCTTCCTCCGTGGTTTTGATTTTATTCTCTAATTCTTTAACTTGTGCTTGCAAAATTCTCTGGTCGTCGTTACTTCTCACCATGAGCGTTTCGTGTATGCTCTTTAGCTCCTTGAGTTCTTTCTGCGTTTTCCTATGATTTTGTTGCTCGTTTTCTAAACCTGTCCTCATCAGACGAACTTCTTCACGTAACCTTGCACTGTGCGTTCTTGCGCGGTTAAGCTCTGTCTTTATTTCCTCCATTTCTAGAAAAGAGAAAGCCATTTAGGAACATTTTTGGTACCCTTCGGTGTTTTTATTTTGTAATCATTCTACTTTTTTTGTTCAATTATAACGGTTCCCCTCCATTTCTTAACGTTCATTGGTGCAAAAAAATTTGGAGTGATCTGGGTTTGAGTTCCACTGAATATTTTTATATTCGGACGATGGGCTCAAGTTGTTCAAGCATTTGTTGCCCAGCTCTATTCAACTGTCATGCTCTATTTTGGTAATCAGTGGGGAGTATCATGTCGGCAATTAACCTCAGGTACCGGATGAAACATCACTTCAGCCGCTAAAATAGCCTCATCTTATAAATAGAATTTGTTATGTATTTTGCTTGTTTGTTAATTAATCCTGTAGGACTTTGCTGGGCCTTGCTATGAATGATTAAAGAGTTAAGCGATTATAGATAAGAATGATTCCACACAAGTAATGCCTAAAAAATCACTGCGTGTTTCCAACCGGGAAAACTTTACATATTTATGTCTTTATTTTTCTATTCATTTCCCATTCCTGTTTTTAAGGAATAAGTATGAGGATCGATCGAGAAAAAAGTCAGTTGGAAATTCCGGTTCCACAAATAAAATCCGCATGCCTATTGTCGATATAGATTTAAAAATTTTTTTTTTTAACTTATCATGACCTTTCGAGGCTCACCCACCACTCCTTCACCCGTCTACATCACCCCCCGTCCCTCTCCTCCCCAAGTATTTCTTCTACAATGTCATTACTTCCATTACTGGGTGACTTACCAGCTTCTTTGACCAAAGGAGTAGCTAAAAATGGCTGGATTTCTTGTAATGCTGTCACAAACTCATCAAAAGCAGCTGGTCCTCTCCTGGGTAGGATCTCTAACAGTTTGTCTGTTCTGTCCTCTCGTGTGGCCTTCACCTTCACTTCCTGTTCGTCTGTGACGTCCAATACGTTTACCAGATAAGGTAGAAGCTTAACTGGTTCCAAGTCTCTCCTGAGCGCCGACCAGTGGCGACGCAAGATGTCTCGATGCCTTTCATTCATGTTGTCTTGGGTTCAACACCAGTCTCTATCTCAGAAGCGTCGTTAAATTTTTCTGCAAAGTGCAACTTGCCAACAACACTAGCCTTGCCAAGAGAAACCTGCGGGTTTAAATGCATTTTAACTTTCAACAATTGATAATAGACCCATTAGGTTTGGTTTTCGTTGTCCTTCTCTCACACGAATTTCTTCCGCTTTCATGTGCTATGACATGCCACTGTAGATAACATAAGCCATGTCATTAAAACATAGGATCTTCATATCAAATTTTTTTGACATGGATTCGCAAAAACTAGTAGAAATATATGGCAATGACGAATTTTTTACTCGATTATCACTTCAAAGAAGCTTTGAGTTTTCATTGAAAAAAGGTATTTTCAACTATTCTGCAAGTTTCTATGGCCGGAAGGGACTCTGCATAAAGATGACTAAAATTTGCAAATGAATAACTTTTCTTGCCTCTCAATTGAATATCTTAACAATAGATGTTCTGTTCAGGTGGTCACATTCAAAGAGGTATTGTTAACTCCAGTACACCTTAGTGTAAAGAAAAGATTATTCAGCTCATTAATTAATGCTTGTACTCTCGATTTTAGAAGTCGGCAAGTTTTGGTAGATAAAATGTCACCTTTCTTCTGAGACAGTCTTCAGGCCATAAAGAATAACAAGCATCTCGGTTTTGTGAGAAAAAGAGTGTTATTCTACGCAAAAGTGATATCCGCTAATCTTTCTGAACACTCTCAAATTGTTAGTTGCGCTCAGAAGAACGTTGTTATGGTGCAAATTTAGATCCTATTTTACTAAGGCGTTGTTAATTTTACTTCAAGCTCTTCACTACGTACAACCTAAAGTACTTTGCGCGTGTTGTGTGTTAGTGCAATGCTAAGTGAACCATTTACTAAATATGCAGTGTTTATATTAGCGAATATCGTCCAAATAGTCCCACTGACAAGAGTTATTGTATATTGTATATCTTTGATAAGTGTAAACAAGGTTGTTAAAACTCGCCATGAAGTGATTAAATATTTAACTGGCGTGAATTAGCGGGATGAAATGGCACTTTTGGTCGAATGTTAGGAGATGGACTCTGTACAAAACGCATCTTGTAGCTGTGCAAGAGGTCAAACTGAATGATATTATAACACAAGGCTTAGGAGAAATATGTTCTTCTCGTAGCAGTTGAGTATAACGTTTACGTTGGATTTATTGTCAGAGGTTCAACAAAGTGAAAAAAGCACACGAGCTCAAGATGGATCGGTTGAAAACCTACCTCGTACTGATGCCTTCAGCCAAAAGTCGAAGAATATTCCACTTCAAAGCAAGTCAGACGAGTGCAAACTTTTCTACCTCAGATGCGCAGTCAGCTGTATTATCAGTGCTGGAATCTGTGACACTTTTTTCACGTTCCGTAATATTTTTAAAGCAACATAACTTTAAGTTAAGTTGAGGACCTTCTGTCAATCAGTGAAATAGTAATACTCAATTTCATCAGAACATGGCAAATGACTCACCACGATTCTCCATCAGAGATATTCAGAAATAGTTTTTATACAGCGTTACCTTCAAGTGTGTTTGATTGCAGTGACGTAATCTGCCGATTTTACCGACCAATCAAACACTTGATTGCCTTAGCAACCTGTTGCTATGGCTGCAATTTTCTTATTGGCATACTGATTAAGATGTTGTCACAAGATAAAAAGTTTCCCGCAACTTGCCTCGGAATTAGGCGACGAATTGTGCTGAAGCGTTAAAAATTATTCTTTCTTCTTAATGCCACTAATCTCTTACCAAATTGCTTACATTTTCATGTTATGGAATTTCATGTTATAATAGGCTATATCCCGAGTGGATTGTTCGGTTACTTTACCAGTCTCGTGAAATGTCTCTTGGACAAGGAAAATTTGTTGTAAAAGAGACAAGAAGTCTCCATCAGTCCTTCAAGAACGAACGAAGAAGACAACTTCCGATTCTCAAGACGACCATGATTTTCTCTAGATGACAGTTCTTAGTACTCTTTTGACTGACATCAAAAATACATCATATTCTTCAAAGGTTAAGAAATTTAGGGCCCACTCGTCCATTAAGTCGCCTTGAATTAGTTATTTTACCTTAGAGACCCACCTTTTCCCTCACCATAAGGAGTTATGAAAACGTAACTTACTTTTACATTAATAGAGAAAATATTCCCTTTCTTATCCACATGATCATCCTCATGCCCCTATCACTTTCCACCTTTATCTGGCAACTAAATAGTTGAGTGAACCCTAAAATTTCTAATCTTGGTAGACTATTATGCTGCAATTTGCTTCGATTTTTTATGTCGCGTAGAATGGACAAGAGCACAGCGAGCACATAGGCAGGTAGGCACCTGCGTTTCCCCGGAAATCTAGGGGAGAAATACAGATTCTTGTATAAACTGACAGGAATCAGCTTTTGTGACAGAATCCCTTTGTCTCTTGCCGCGTAAGTTTGCAAATTACTTATTCCAAGTTTAAGTTCGTTTTTAAGGGGACCGAGGTCTAACCTAAATCACACTTTTACGCAATCAGTGGGCCTCAGGCTCTCTCTAGAGGAGTGTTAATTAACTGATTAAATGCCCTTTTTCGGCCCTCTTGACGCTGTTCACAAAAATAAATGTACGGATAAAAGGTTCCGTTAAATCGAGGATTTTTTAGGACACGGTTTTGTTAAACAACGTCTAAACTTTTTTAAACGAGACTAAGATGTTCCTTGAATGGAGGTGACTTTCCAATGAAAAAAGTAATATCAAAAAATTGAAAATGCCCAAAGCTTTCCGAATCCTTAGGGTCTTCAACCTTCTTGAATTACTGGCATACTTGTTAACTATTGTAACCTTTTATAAGTACACCGTACAGTTCAATCCCAGATAGGTAAATACCATATTCGTTCGAGGAATTCTTTCCTTTCTGAAAAACTCGAAAAAACCTATAAGCTCCAACTTCTCCTTCAATTGGCCAGGTAGCGGTATACGAAGAGGGTTCACATAGCTTGCTATCATTATGGTGTTTCTTTAACACTTCCCAGGTAGACCCGTCAAACGACCCTTCGAGCTGCCAATTACGGAGGAATGAACCACCGTTGCCCAGACCGTGTCTTAGAGTATAATGTGTGAGATACAATGAGTATTTCTCGCTCAAGGCAACACACCACCATGATTCCTTCACGTTTTTGGTACCGCTTATCTTCCCCTGTTTATGACAACGTTCAAGCAGATCAGTTGCCGAGCCTACTTCGTCAGATGATCTTGAGGCACTTACTCTTGTGGATACACCACTCTTGCTGGGATTTACCCAACGCCGATTAGCTCCGAAATTCATTCCCATCGCATAAATAACTCCACATCGGTCAAAATCTTTTTTATAGTTAAAAACACCTGCATAAATAAAAACAAAATTAGGTGAAAAAATGTTCCCCGAGTGGACACCAGAAAGTAAGATAAACTCCTTTGTTGTCAGGTTGTTCTGAGGTAAAAGCATTCTACGCTTGCCATGGCTTCTCAAGCCGATAGCATTGACAGATCAATCAATCAACCGATAGATTATTCTTCAAATACTTCAGATACGCGGAGCAAGAAATCCATCCATTTTTTTGCTGCTCCTATGGTCAAAGAAGTAGGTTAGTCACCCAGTGATGGAAGTAATGACATTGTAGAAAAAATAAAAGTTAAATGATGAAGAACCTGAAGAAAAATCTTTTACATTTTTCACGAGCTTGGAACAAAGAAACAACTATCTTAGTCCCACTCTGGACTGGAATTCGAACCTCACACCTTCCGATTTCGCGGTCTTAGGCGACTTGAAACTCTTTAGAATAGCCTAACTCTAAAAATTTCGACCATCAATATTTGCGGGATATTTATTAATTCTTGGATTTAAAATGCTAATGAAGAGGTCCCTAAAAAGAATAGATTAAATTAAACACAGTGTTCGTGAAGATCTGTAGCCCCTCAATGAACGTGCGCTTACCAAAAACAGGTTACTTACGTCCACACCCTTCTCTCAATTTCTCCAGTTCATTCAAGGCATCTCCCTTAGCTTTAGTCTCTGCCCGCAATTCCTCCTCTGTTTCTTCCAGCTTCTTCTTTTCGGCATCCAAATCTTTCCTCAACTGGTCATTATCTTCTTTAAGTTTTTCAACTTCTTCAGAAACTTTTTTATTTTCCGATTCTTCTTTCTTTAACTGGTCTTTCAGCTTGGCTAATTCTTGCTCTTTTGCATTAAGCTTTGACTTCTGTTCCTTTTTTTCTTTCTCCATCTTATCTGATTCCTTTTTAAGATTTTTGAGCGTAGAGTTCAAGCCTTTAATTTTTTCCTGATACGAGTTATTCTTCTCTTTAAAAACAAGCAAATTCATAATTGGTGGACGAAACGGAGGAAAAACGAGATCTCTCGAAGTAAATCTGAACGATTGTCGCAGGCTAACTGCAATTTAAGTAATTACATAATAGAGGCCTGACAAATTTAAGCCTTAATAGGATTCGAACCCACGCCTCCTCCCGGATACTGGTTGGGCGCAACTACCAACCAAGCAACGAAGCGACATTTTGGGAGCTAGGCATCTTTCAGTGTATTCTGCGTTCCCACTGAGGAATCTCATCACAATTTTAATGAATTAAGTCATACTGCGGTCAAAAGATCCTCACAGGCAAGCTGAAATTTAAGAATTAGCTTCAGTCTTTTCTGCAATCGGATCGCAGCCAATAACCTACGAGAATCATTCCTGCCCTGACTGTTCGTATAGTTACCTGCCTGTGCTCGGGGGTGATGAGAGCCTCTTTCAGGCTTTGTGAGACCGAGTCAAATGTTATGCCCATTTTTCTGTAATATTTAGCTTCTCTATATCACAAGTTTCGTTGACAATTTGAAATAAAATGCAGCGATTGCAATTCCTTTTCTATTCGATAAAAGAAACCTTTTATTCAGGGTACACATTCAGTATTAGAAAAAGTGTCTTCTTTACCTGACAGCTTCTTAATTTCTGCTTTGCTTTCAACATATAGTTTCTCTTGTTCTTCGATTACTTTCTGCTTTTCTTTATTCTCTTGCTGCTTTTTCTCAAAGGCTTCTTTCATTTCAAGAACTTGTTCCTTTAACTTCTCGCATCCTTCTTTTTCGTTGATCAGCTCTTTCTCTATGTCTTCTCTTTCTGCAAGAGAAACAAACTCTACACCTCTTAGATATGAATCAAATTACCCATTCCTGACAATATGGTTTTTCAAAGGAAAGATATTATCTTTCTTACGAGCGTGGACTAAGAAAAACATGTTTCCTTTGAACTACCAAAAGTGTTTTCCGTTAACAGGTGTTGATATGATAGCTCTTCTTTCAACTTTCAATTTCAGTCTTAAACGCCACACCTTTTCTGTAATTCTCGATCAGAGCTTCGTTTTGACGAGTTATTTCTTCGAGTCTCCTTTGTGTTTCCTCGTGCTCTTTTTTCTCTTTTTCCAAAGCTTCTGTTGCTTCATCAACTTGGTTACTTCTCATCGCACCACTTGCTCTTTCATTCTTAAGCTCTTCCTCCATCATTTTTATTTCTGGAAATGAGATAAGTAACACAGGTTAATAATTACTGCAGTCAACTCATGCTCATAATTACGTGTCTTATAATTTGTGTTTACTGATGTCACTCATTTTTACAGCAACAGCGAACAATGTGTTTTTCTTTTTGCAACAAAACCGTGCGAGTGCACTAAGGTCAAACGACTTTTTCCGGCCCTGCAACAGTCAGCTCTTCCTCTGGTTTTCTATGGGAATTCCGAAGTTAGTACCCCTGATAGCAAAGGGACGGAAAAAAACACACTTGCACTAGATGTTATCGTCAAGAAATTCACAACTATAAACAACAGGCCGTTGTACTAAAAATTTCACACCTGTCTTACCCTAGGCAATAACTTAATTGTTTCTGTTATGAAGTCACAAGTATACAAAACAAAATTTTTTTGTATCTTATTCGCTTGACTCTACTTACTTGTCGCACGCAACACTTGACATCTGTTCCCGCGCTCGCGCGTGATATACTTTATATAAATGTATGTTAGGATGGGAAAGAATACAGCAGTGTCTGGGTACGAACCAAATCATACTGGGTACGAATCAAGTGAATCGGGCACGAAACGACCACTCTCCGTCTCCATGAAGCGAATGAAAGGCTGTTGGTGGTTTAAATGCTGTGGGAAGCATTCTACGCTCTCACGGACTAAGATGGCGAAGGTGTCGTCTACGAAGCGTTTGCAGATCCTTGGTTTGTGCAGTGATAGAGTTACTGCTTGTTCTATAAAACTCTTCATGTAGAGGTTAACAATAACAGCGGAAACCGGACTCTCCTTAGCTGCGCCTTCGGTCTTTTCATAAGTTGATGCATTGTACTGTACTTCGCCTGAAGATGACTAACAGTATCAGTCGAAAGGTGGCGATCCGCATCCGAAGTGACCACATCGTGAGACAAATGATTACCTTTCATTTTTGAAAGAGTCATTTACCACAGACTATGACTAATCAAAACCTATTTTACGATATCAAAGAAAATAGTTGAAAAGGACTTTCAAGGCGCAACCTAACAAATTTAATGTGCTGCTGCAATGTACTCCTTTGGCCTCCATGTTGCCCGATGTTGATTAATATTAGAAAAAATAAATTAGAATGCTATTTACAATCGCAAAGAAAATCGAAAAAAAGCTGTTGAATCAAGAACTGCCATGACATATTTACCTGCATTTTTCAAAGTAACAGCTAGGTGCGGCTGTGTCTTCTTCAGTCCTTCCACAAAAACATTAAAAGCATTATTTCCTCTACGTGGAAGTATTTCCGTTACCAGCTTGTCTACTCTCTCAATTCTTGTGCCCTTTTCAAGCACCTCTCGTGCGTCTGTGACGTTCACTACAGAAGTTAATTCAGGTAATATGTTCTTTGGTTCCAGGTCTTTTCTGAACTCCGACCAACAGCGGTGCAAAATTTTCCGATGCCTGTCATTCATCTTATTTCAGACTTGCAATTCTCTCTGAAAATATGTCACATACTTTGGTAAATGTTTCTTCTTGTTACAAGAAGTTTACTCTTATGATAAAATTTTTGAAGGAGTTTAGATGGGTTTTCAATAATTTGTGCATCTTGATAAATGGTCCATTCCGTCTTAACGTCATAAAAAGTGATCCAAAATGTCTCAACGTCATTCCTTTCAGTTACGGTATTTAATTAGGGGTAACAGACTCTAGCTAAGTAAAGCTGGTCCATTTTGAGATTGAGTTGCAGAGTTTGTATATGAGTTTTAGAAAAGGGGTTTTGTTCGGGCAGCTTTGTCAACGAACAATAATTTTCTGTAGAGATCCTCAATTAAGTTACTGTCGCGCTATCACAATTTTAAATTCTTACAACAAAAGAGATCGATTCGTAAATCTCGTGTCCAGCAACCCTAAATTGGCTGAAATTCAGTATCTCTCGTGTTTCTGAGGTCCCAACTTAATAGATTACCCAATGTAATGAAAAAAAAACTCGATGAAAAATAGTTTTGATGAAAGAATTGATGAAGAAAAGGAGAAGGAAGTAATAGGTAACGCACGAAAACCTTCAATTGAACAAATTTAGACCACAAGTGTAGCCAGTAAAAGAAACCATTTGAGTGTTTTAACATTCATTTCCTTCAGCTAAATAACTTCCAAACTGAAGGATTGGAAATAACCGTCGATAGAGAGCCAAAGGCTTAGTGACCTATAATTTGAACATTTGACGTTCGGTGCACCCTTAAAATCATGTTATTTTATATGAACCGTAAAAAATTAATGTTAATTGCCGTGATTCCTTCATGATCATTTTTTGATATCCGTGAAACGTGCAAAGCAGTCCCCCACACCACCCCTCATCTGAATTTCTGCCCCGACAATAGTCATTCCTTGTCATGCACTTCTAACAGGGAAGCGTTCGGAATATCGTTCGAATAATTGTGTCTGACAAGATTAATTGCTTATTGTTTACCTCTCAATTGAATATCTTTACGATAGATGTTCTGTTCAGGTGGTCACATTCAAAGAGGTATTGTTAACTCCAGTACACCTTAGTGTGAAGGAAAGATTAGTAAGCTCATTAATTAATACTTGTACTCTCGATTTAGGAAGTCGGCAAGTTTTGGTAGATAAAATGTCACCTTTCTTCTCAGACAGTCTTCAGGGCATAAAGAATAACAAGCGTCTCGGTTCTGTGAGTAAAAGAATGTTATTCTACGCAAGAGTGATATCCACTAATGTTTCTGAACACTCTCAAATTGCTAGTTGCGCTCAGAAAAAACATCGTTACGGTGCAAATTTAGATCCTATTTTACTGAGGCGTTGTTAATTTTACTCTAAGCCCTTCACTTCGTTCAACGTAAAGTACTTTGCGCGTATTGCGTCTTAGTGCGATGCTAAGTGAACCATTTACTAAATATGCAGTGTTCATATTAGCGAATATCGTCCAAATAGTCCCACTGATAAGAGTTATTGTATATTGTATATCTTTGATAAGCGTAAACAAGGTTGTTAAAACTCGCCATGAAGTGATTAAATATTTAACTGGCGTGAATTAGCGGGATGAAATGGCACTTTTTGTCAAATGTTAGGAGATGGACTCTGTTCAAACTGCATCTTGTAGTTGAGCAAGAGATCAAACTGAATGACATAATAACACAAGGCTTAGAAGAAATATGTTCTTCTCATAGCAGTTGAGCATAACGTTTACGTTGGATTTATTGTCAGAGGTTCAACAAAGTGAAAAAGGCACACGAGTTCAAGATGGATCGGTTGAAAACCTACCTCGTACTGATTCCTTTAGCCAAAAGTCGAAGAATATTCGACCACAAAGCAAGTCAGACGAGTGCAAACTTTTCTACTTCAGATGCGCAGTCAGCTGTATTATCAGTACTGGAATCTATGACACTTTTTTCTCGTTTCCGTAATATTTTTAAAGCGAGTTAAGTTGAGGACCTTCTGTCAATCAGTGAAATAGTAATACTCAATTTCATCAGAACATTGCAAATGACTCGCCACAATTATCCATAAGAGATATTCAGAAATAGTTTTAATACAGCGTTACCTTCAAGTGTGTTTGATTACAGTTGACGTAACCTGCCGATTTTACCGACCAATCAAACACTTGATTGCATTAGCTGTAATTTCTCTTATTTCATACTGATTAAGATGTTGTCACAAGAAAAAAAGTTTCCCGCAACTTGCCTCGGAATTAGGCAGCGAATTACGCTGAAGAGTTAAAAATTATTCTTTCTTCTTAATGCCACTAATCGATCACCAAATTCCTTACATTTTCATGTTAAGGAATTTCATGCTATAACAGGCTATATCCCGAGTGGATTGTTCGGTTACTTTACCAGTCTCCTGAAATGTCTCATGGACAAGGAAAATTTGTTGTAAAAGAGACAAGAAGTCTCAATCAGTCCTTCAAGAACGAACGAAAAAGGCAACTTCTGATTCTCAAGACGACCATGATTTTCTCTAAATGACAGGTCTTAGTACTTTTTTGACTGACATCTGTGACCCTTCAACTATCATACAAAACTACATCATGTTCTTCAAAGGTTGAGAAATTTAGGGCCCACTCGTCCATTAAGTCGCCTTAAATTAGTTATTTTACCTCAGAGACCCACCCTTTCCCTTACCATAAGGAATTTTGAAAACGTAACTTACTTTTACATTAATAGAGAAAATATTCTTTCTTATCCACATGATCTGCCTCATGCCCCTATCACTTTACACCTTTATCTGGCAACTAAATGGTTGAGTTAACCCTAAAATTTCTAATCTTGGTAGACAATGATGCTGCAATTTGCTTCGATTTTTTATGTCGCGTAGACTGGGCAAGAGCACAGCGAGCACATAGGCAGGTAGGCACCTGCATTTCCCCGGAAATCTAAAGGAGAAATACAGATTCTTGTATAAACTGACAGGAATCAGCTTTTGTGACAGAATCCCTTTGACTACTTTTCTATGATATTCTGTTTGAAATACGAAATATCAATCCACGGGGATGGCGCAGTGGTGAGAGCGCTCGCCTCCCACTCAAGTGGCCTGTGTTCAATTTCCGTGCCTGCATGATGTTGCATGTGGGTTGAGTTTGTTGTTGGTTCTCGTCCTTGCTCCGACGGTTTTCCCCTGATCTCCCGGTTTTCCTACCTCCACAACAACCAACACTCTAAATTGCAGTTCGACCTGGAAACAATGGACAAGAAGAGCCACCTTGTGGAATGTCCACTGCTAAATCCTGTTACTATATATTATTATTACTATTCTTTTTTATTATCATCATTATAATAATTATTGTTATTAGTATTATCAGTAGAAGCAGTAGTATTACTAATACTTTTGTTATTAGTAGTAGTAGTAGCAGTAGCAGCAGCAGTAGCAGCAGCAGTAGCAGCAGCAGCATTCCACGTTATCGCCGAAAGATAGTTCGTCATTTGCGCTTTTGTTTAGGCTATAGAGAATCTTCGAGTTCAATTTGGGTTAGGTGCCTCTGTACTGCCATTTCAACTGATCAGAGGGTGCGTTATAATGAAATCGTTTGTTATTTAGACTTAGATTCCCCTTAGTACTGAGAGTTTTCTTTTTCTTTGCGACTGTAAAAGTAAAAGCTTCACGGAGTTACGAAGGTTTGATAGCATCTTTGTAATTTAGATGAGGTATCAAAGGAATACTGCTATGCCTTGGGAATGTTCTACTTGAAAGACAGGGAATTAGGCTCTTGAAATCAGACTAAAGCCGTCAGGTAATAAGACACTAAATTCGTAGTAAGAAAATGACCATAAAATTATCGTTTTATTCCTCGCCTGAGTACTACACTGAAGACCTCCTTGGGTCGAAACAGTTTTAAACATGAGTTTCTTTTCAATGATCGGTGGTTGGAAAATTATACCCCCTCCCCCCCTCCCCCAACACCTTCATCATGCAGAACGCAGTCTCTTGCCGCGTTTGCAAATTACGCATTCGAGGTTTAAGTTCGTTTTTAAGGGGATCGAGGTCTAACCTAAATCACAGTTTTACGCAATCAGTGGGCCTCAGGCTCTCTCTAGAGGAGTGTTAATTAACTGATTAATTGCCCTTTTTCGGCCCTCTTGACGCTGTTCACAAAAATAAATGTACGGATAAAAGGTTCCGTTAAATCGAGGATTGTTTAGGATACGGTTTTGTTAAACAACGTCTAAACTTTTTTAAAAGAGACTAAGATGTTCCTTGAATAGAGGGGTTTTTTTCCAATGAAGAAAGTAATATCAAAAAATTGAAAATGCCCAAAGCTTCCTTGAATAGAGGGGTTTTTTTCCAATCAAGAAAGTAATATCAAAAAATTGAAAATGCCCAAAGCTTTCCGAATCCTTAGGTTCTTCAACATTCTTGAATTACTGACATACTTGTTAACTATTGTAACCTTTCATAAGTACACCGTACAGTTCAATTCCAGATAGGTAAATACCATATTCGTTCGAGGAATTCTTTCCTTTCTGAACAACTCGAAAAAACCTATAAGCTCCAACTTCTCCTTCAATTGGCCAGGTAGCGGTATACGAAGAGGGTTCACATAGCTTGCTATCATTATGGTGTTTCTTTAACACTTCCCAGGTAGACCCGTCAAACGACCCTTCGAGCTGCCAATTACGGAGGAATGAACCACCGTTGCCCAGACCGTGTCTTAGAGTATAATGTGTGAGATACAATGAGTATTTCTCGCTCAAGGCAACACACCACCATGATTCCTTCACGTTTTTGGTACCGCTTATCTTCCCCTGTTTATGACAACGTTCAAGCAGATCAGTTGCCGAGCCTACTTCGTCAGATGATCTTGAGGCACTTACTCTTGTGGATACACCACTCTTGCTGGGATTTACCCAACGCCGATTAGCTCCGAAATTCGTTCCCATCGCATAGATAATTCCACATCGGTCAAAGTCTTTTGTATAGTTAAAAACACCTGCATAAATAAAAGCAAAATTAGGCGAATAAATGTTTCCCGAGTGGACACCAGAAAGTAAGATAAACTCCTTTGTTGTCAGGTTGTTCTGAGGTAAAAGCATTCTACGCTTGCCGTGGCTTCTCAAGCCGATAGCATTGACAGATCAATCAATCAACCGATAGATTATTCTTCAAATACTTCAGATACGTGGAGCAAGAAATCCATCCATTTTTTTGCTGCTCCTATGGTCAAAGAAGTAGGTTAGTCACCCAGTGATGGAAGTAATGACATTGTAGAAAAAATAAAAGTTAAATGATGAAGAACCTGAAGAAAGATCTTTTACATTTTTCACGAGCTTGGAACAAAGAAACAACTATCTTAGTTCCACTCTGGACTGGAATTCGAACCTCACACCCTTCGATTTCGCGGTCTTAGGCGACTTGAAACTCTTTAGAATAGCCTAACTCTAAAAATTTCGACCATCAATATTTGCGGGATAATCCATTGATATTATAAGGAAAAGTTAGATATTTATTAATTCTTGGATTTAAAATGCTAATGAAGAGGTCCCTAAAAAAAATAGATTAAATTTAGACACAGTGTTTGCGAAGATCCGTAGCCCTTCAATGAACGTGCGCTTACCAAAAACAGGTTACTTACGTCCGCACCCTTCTCTCAATTTCTCCAGTTCATTCAAGGCATCTCCTTTAGCTTTAGTCTCTGCCTGCAGTTCCTCCTCTGTTTCTTCTAGCTTCTTCTTTTCGGCATCCAAATCTTTCCTCAACTGGTTATTATCTTCTTTAAGTTTTTCAGCTTCTTCAGAAACTTTTTTATTTTCCGATTCTTCTTTCTTTAACTGGTCTTTCAGCTTGGCTAATTCTTGCTCTTTCGCATTAAGCTTTGACTTCTGTTCCTTTTTTTCTTTCTCCATCTTATCTGATTCCTTTTTAAGATTTTTGAGCGTAGCGTTCAAGCCTTTAATTTTTTCCTGATACGAGTTATTCTTCTCTTTAAAAACAAGCAAATTCATAATTGGTGGACGAAACGGAGGAAAAACGAGATCTCTCGAAGTAAATCTGAACGATTGTCGCAGGCTAACTGCAATTTAAGTAATTACATACTAGAGGCCTGACAAATTCAAGCCTTAATAGGATTCGAACCCACGCCTCCTCCCGGATTCTGGTTGGGCGCAACTACCAACTGAGCAACGAAGCCACATGTTGGAAGCAAGGCATCTTTCAGTGAATTCCGCGTTCCCGCAGAGGAATCTCATCTCAATTTTAATGAATTAAATCATACAGTGACCTAAGTTGCGGTTAAAATGATCCTCACAGGCAAGCTGAAATTTAAGAAATAACTTCAGTCTTTTCTGCAATCGGATTGCAGCAAATAACTTACGAGAATCATTCCTTCCTGACTGTTCGTATAGTTACCTGCTTGTGCTCGGTGGTGATGAGAGCCTCTTTCAGGCTTTGTGAGACCGAGTCAAATGTTATGCCCATTTTTCTGTAATATTTAGCTTCTCTATATCACAAGTTTCGTTGACAATTTGAAATAAAATGCAGCGATTGCAATCCCTTTTCGATTCGATAAACTAAAACTTCTATTCAGGGTACACATCCAGTATTAGAAAAAGTGTCTTCTTTACCTGACAGCTTCTTAATTTCTGCTTTGCTTTCAGCATCTAGTTTCTCTTGTTGTCTCTCAAGTTCTTCGATTACTTTCTGCTTTTCTTTATTCTCTTGCTGCTTTTTCTCAAAGGCTTCTTTCATTTCACGAACTTGCTTCTTTAACTTCTCGCATCCTTCTTTTTCGTTGATCAGCTCTTTCTCTATGTCTTCTCTTTCTGCAAGAGAAACAAACTCTACACCTCTTAGACATGAATCAAATTACCCATTCCTGACAATATGGTTTTTCAAAGGAAAGATATTATCTTTCTTACGAGTGTAAACTAAGAAAAACATATTTCCTTTGAACTACCAAAAGTGTTTTCCGTTAACAGGTGTTGATATGATAGCTCTTCTTTAACCTTTCAATTTCAGTCTTAAACGCCGCACCTTTTCTGTAATTCTCGATCAGAGCTTTGTTTTGACGAGTTATTTCTTCGAGTCTCCTTTGTGTTTCCTCATGCTCTTTTTTCTCTTTTTCCAAAGCTTCTGTTGCTTCATCAACTTGGTTACTTCTCATCGCACTACTTGCTCTTTCATTCTTAAGCTCTTCCTCCATCATTTTTATTTCTGGAAATGAGATAAGTAACACAGGTTAATAATTAATGCTCTTATAAGGGAAGATGGAACCATTTTAAAGGAGACTAAGAAAAATATCTATTCCCTAGACCTTCCGACTTCGCATTTGGAGGCTTTACCTACTTATCAACAGAATAATAGCAGCTTTTTTCTGGGAATCGGCAACGGTGACGGTTACCGGTCGTCTGGTACCCAGTCTTTTTGTATACAGCTAAGTCGTTTCGTACCCAGTCAGTTGAGCCGTTTCGTACCCAAACTAATAAAGTATGTTTTCCATGTTAAGTATGATAAAAGTAAGGTCGGTTTCCTCTTGTGAATAGCAATATTACCTGCACTAATTAACTTATGCTAACGTAACGTCCATTTCTGAAGCGCGACCGCCGAGCCTGGAACGGAAAGTCGTTGGACAGACGCAAGCAATATTTCCACCAGATGCATATTTAGGTACTTATTGACTGAATGGGAGGGCCGGATGTGAAAATATTTGATGATGTTCGGACAAAGCGCAGCTTGTTTTAATTAATGCCACAGACTGGCAAGCGCGGGAAAACCGAAAATTGATTCTTCAATAAATGATACACTAGGACGAAACTCAGAATTCATCGAAAAACGTCACATGTTTTCTCATTTGTGTTTACTGCTGTCACTCATTTTTACAACAAAAGCGAACAATGTTTTTTTTCTTTTTGCAACAAAACCGCACAAGTGCACTACAGTCGAACGGCTTTTTCCGGCCCTGCAACAGTCAGCTCTCCCTCTGGTTTTCTATGAGAATTCCGAAGTTAGTACCCTTGATAGCAAAGGGACGGAAAAAAAAACACACTTGCACTAGATGTTATTGTCAAGAAATTAACACCAGGCCATTGTACTAAAAATTTCACACCTGTCTTACCCTAGGCAATAACTTAATTGTGTCTGTTATGAAGTCACAAGTATACAAAACAAAATTTTCTTGTATCTTATTCGCTTGACTCTACTTACTTGTCGTACATAACACTTGACGTCTGTTCCCGCGCTCGCGCGTGATATACTTTATATAAATGTATGTTAGGATGGGAAAGAATCGATCAGCGGTTTGGGTACGAACCAAATCAAACTGGGTACGAATCAAGTGAATTGGGCATGAAACGACCGCTCTCCGTCTCCATTGTGAAGCGAATGAAAGGCTGTTGGTGGTTTAAATGCTGTAGGAAGCATTCTACGCTCTCACGGACTAAGTGACTGATGAAATGACTGATTAAGTTACTGCTTGTTCTATAAAACTCTTCATGTAGAGGTTAACAATAACAGCGGAAACCGGACTCTCCTTAGCTGCGCCTTCGGTCTTTTCATAAGTTGATGCATTGTACTGTACTTCGCCTGAAGATGACTAACAGTATCAGTCGAAACGTGGTGATCCACATCCGAAGTGACCACATCGTGAGACGAATGATTACTTTTCATTTTTGAAAGAGTTATTTACCACAGACTATGACCAATCAAAACCTATTTTACGATATCAAAGAAAATAGTTGAAAAGGACTTTTAAGGCGCAACCTAACAGATTTAATGTGCTGCTGCAGTGTACTCCTTTGGCCTCCATGTTGCCCGATGTTGATTAATATTAGAAAAAATGAATTAGACTGCTATTTACAATCGCAAAGAAAATCGAAAAAAAGCTGTTGAATCAAGAATTGCCATAACATATTTACCTGCATTTTTCAAAGTAACAGCTAGGTGTGGCTGTGTCTTCTTCAGTCCTTCCACAAAAACATTAAAAGCATTATTTCCTCTACGTGGAAGTATTTCTGTTACCAGCTTGTCTACCCTCTCAATTCTTGCGCCCTTTTCAAGCACCTCTCGTGCGTCTGTGACGTTCACTACAGAAGTTAATTCAGGTAATAGATTCTTTGGTTCCAGGTCTTTTCTGAACTCCGACCAACACTGGTGCAAAATTTTCCGATGCCTGTCATTCATCTTCTTTCAGATTCTCTCTGAAAATAATATGTTATATACTTCGGTAAATGTTTCTTCTTTTTTTTTACTCTTACGATTAAGTTTTCCAAGAAATTTAGATGGATTTTCTACCGCACGCTTTTAAAGGAGTTACGCAATGATTTGTGCATCATGATAAATGGTCCATTCCGTCTTAACGTCATAAAAAGTTATCCAAAATGTCTCGACGTCATTCCTCTCAGTCACGGTATTTAATTAGGGGAAGCAGACATTTGTCCCTAGCTAACTAAAGCTGGTCCATTTTGAGATTGAGTTTGCAGAGTTTGTATATGAGCTTTAAAAAGGGGTTTTGTTAAGGCAGCCTTGTCAACGAACAATAATTTTCTGTAGAGATCCTCAACTTAAGTTACTGTCTCGTTATCACAATTTTGAATTCTTACAGCAAAAGAGATCGATTCGTAAATCTCGTGTCTAGCAACCCCAAATTGGCTGAACTTCAGTATCTCTCGTGTTCTTGAGGTCTCAACATTATAGATTACCCAATGTAATGGAAGAAAAGCTCGATGAAAAATATTTTTGATGAAAGAATTGACGAAGAAAAGGAGTAGGAAGTAACAGGTAACGCAAGAAAACTTTCAATTGAACAAATTGAAACCACAAGTGAAGCCAGTGAAAGAAACCACTTGAGTGTTTTAACATTCATTTTTTTCAGCTAAATAACTTCCAAATTAAAGGATTGGAAATAACCGTCGATAGGGAGCCAAAGGCCTAGTAACCTATAATACGGAACATCTGACGTCCTTAAAATCATGTTATTTTATACGAACCGTAAAAATTTAATGTTAATTGCCGTGATTCCCTCATGATCATTTTTTTAAACCCGTGAAACGTGCAAAGCAGTCCCCCTCACCACCCCCCCATCTGAATTTCTGCCCCAACAATTGTCATTCATTGTCATTCACTGCTAACGAGGAAGAGTTCAGAATATCGTTCGAATAATTGTCTCTGAGAAGAGTAATTGCATATCGTTCACCTAAATTAAGTTTAAAGAAAGTTGTTGAAATTTGCCTTAATGAGATTAAATTTTTGGGTAACGTGAATAAGCTGGATGAAACAACATTTTCAGTCATATGACAAGAGACGTGTCTCATACAAAAAGAATTTCGCGGCACCTTTGAAAGGTCAACGGTATCATTGCACAAGATTTTACGATGAACAACGTCAGACCTTGTATCAAAGGCCTAACAAACTGAAAGTGTCATTCACGTTTAAGATGGACGAGTTTACAACCTACCTTGCACTTGTTCTTTCAGCATGAAGTGTAGGGAGTTTCGTCTTCGCATCAGACCCGACGCGTGTCAATATTCTTCCTGAAATGCGCAATCGGCTTAACTTCAATGTTCCAATCTGGAGCAATTTGTTCACAACAACCTAGCTTTGAATGAAACTTCGTATCACTGATAAGACCTTCCGTTCATCAGTGGAACAATAGCACTATGTTTGTTAGAAAAAGGCCGAAAATAAGCCATAAATCTTCATATAAGACGGTCACCTCATTATCTAACGTTAACTCTCAGGTGTGTAATTACAGCGTCCTTATCAGCCATTTTCCCAGCCAATTAAATACTAGAATACCCCTTTGACCTGTTGTTTTGGTTGCAGATATATTAACTTTATTGAGGTGCTGATTTGGGACTTACCACACTGCCAAAAGTTGCCCCCAACTTGCCGTGGAATTTTGAACTTTGATCAAGCAGTACATTGAGCGTACGCGTAAAAAGATTAACTGACTGTCTTCCCTCAAGTATTTTTGACTCTTCAAAATGCCACTCAATTTCTTTAATCCTTTCATGTCTATATTCTTCTCAACGGACTCCGTACACTCTTTTGTGAGTTACTGGGAGAAATTCGTACTACATCAGGTTATATCCCGAGGGGATTACTCAGTTACTTTAGTGGTCTTGTGAACTGTCTCCTTGACAAAGAACATTTGTTGCCAAAGGAAGGAATTTATCCTGATCTGTCCTTCAAGAAGGAGCTAGAAAGGCAACATATGATTTTCAGTGATACACGACAGTGATTTTCTATCGATGATTAGCTTTACCTATTCTGTCGACTGTCATTCGTGACTCTTTAAAAAGAATAAAGAAATGCATGAGGCTCTTTAAAAGGTTAGGAATTTTAGGGCTCACTCATCCATTTAGTCGCCGGATAAAGGTGTAAAGTGATCGGAGTAGTGACCTGAGGGCATGAGGCAGATCAGATGGCTAAGAGAGCGAATATTTTCCTTGTTATCGTAAAAGTAAGTTTTGTCAGCACTCCCAATGGCAGCGGTAAAAAGCGCAACTTTAAGATGGAATAACGGGCTCGAAGTGTACCATATGAGGTGAGAGACAAACTCTATAAGAGAACAAGTTTTTTAAAAGGAAACTCTACTGATAGAAAAGCTTAGATTCGTTGCGTTTTTTATAGACCACCGGTTGTTATGGTGCGGAGACAGTCGATGTAGTGTCCTGAATCGATCAAAGCAAAATAATGGGGAATAAAAACGAATACCTCTGCTCTTCAAAGCTACAAAGATAATTGGTCGACGGTCAGTGCTGGTAAAAGCTTCGGCTACGAAGGTTTACGCAAAATCTCCCATTTTATTTTAGAAGCTGATAGCTATCTCTTGAGAACATTTGAGTTACAAGACAGGAACGTATAGGCGCTTGAGATAAAACAATAACACCAAACTCCTATCAAATGAGTTTTTGAGGCCTGGGGAAATATTATTCACGATTTTCATCTATTTTGTTTCTCGGCTATCCAGTTCTACGAATTGACGCCGGCCAACGCTTTAAAATATAGAATGAATGAAGTGAATGTTTGTTTTATTGCCATTTCTCTCTGACGTGCGTCGTTAACCCGATTAAAATAAAAACTAACAAACAGACGCTAAAACATAGCAACTGTATAGTAATCTTTGACGAAATATGTGTCTATAAGAAAGACCTAATCCAAGTAGTGCTGCTAGTTGTACCCAAAGGTCCTTTATTGATTGGAACAAGCTAGATTTTTGACAAAGCAAATATTGCCTCTGAAGCAATTTCATGAGCATGATCGCCTAGCCTATGCGAAGGAATTTAATTTTCAAGTGACCAATTACATACGGAATTCGGAAACCACAGAAACTGCATTTGAAATACAAAGTTTCCATCAGCCAGTGCCTTTTATGTCCTCTTATTCTTAGGATGTAAATCGACCACTTACTTTACTATAAACGTAACGAGGCAAGATGCACACTGAATCGTCTATGAGAAGTCATACTGTGATAAAATTCTAATCGAATTTTTTCTTGTCTGTGTGCTGATGAAGTGTGCTTTTCGTTCGTTATAATTTCATTAAAGCTAAGCGCATTTCATTACCGACGTGCTAAACTACTCCGCTGATTATCCATTTCTCAGTTGTAATCAAAATTCATAAAATTAGTAACAGCCAGTATACACATATATAGGTCTTCATCCGCATCCTTTCTTTTACTGACCATCGTTAATATTCTTATGGAGATATCCACTAAAACCACGTGCTTCCTTGGAACTGACCTCGTTGGCATGACGGTAACAACCTTATGTCCTCAGCCGACTTACGCCATTATCCCTCCTACTTCCCCATTGTTTTTAAGGGTTTTTTTTATCATATATCTTATATTTTCGTTGTTATGTTTCATTAACATGAAGTTTTAAAGTTTCTCCACGATCATTCAAAATGATCCTGCTGACAATTTATCTTGAACAACCGCAGAGTTCACGCCGTGGTAATTACATACACTTTTATTTAATGCCCTGTAAGCTGTAAAGTCGGATGTGTTGTTTACCTTATTTTTTTCGCTTGCTTTAGGTAATTATAAGCAAGTTAGAGGCTTGGACATTATCGCAGCTTGGCTAAATTCAAAGGCGATCTTGTTGGGAAGATGGAGACATCAGTTACAAGTAGTGAAGGTTCTCTAACCTTTTATTTCATGTAATTCTAAAAATGCAGCACCTGTTCCCTCTATGTCGAAAATTGTTGACGCAGTTATGACAATTAAGGGACTGGTCATTATTTATGCTCTGGGGGGAGGAGGGTTTGGAGGATTTTGCTCGTGTTGCGATAAAATTTACCTGATACCCCATAAGGCTCCGCAATATTCTTATGACAAAAAGAATATATATACAATCCCTCCCTCAAAACCCCTCCTTACCCCACCCCACCCCACCCCCTCTCCACCCAGAGCGATAACTAATGACTGGTCCGTTAGGCAGTTTTCTCCAAACGTGCACCTTTCTTTGGTTCCATAGTTTCATCCATTTTATCCTTTCTGGTAGCATACATATATTTTTTTTATTTCAATTGGATACTTATTTTCACAGACACTTCTAGTGGCATACAGTATGGACATGCAACTGTCACTTCAAGCCACATGATGTTAATATGTGATGACGTGGGCGCTTCTTGGAGAGATCTGGGTACTCAGTTGAGGCTCCCATCAGCTGTGGTTCGTAATGTTGAAAATGATTACACCTTATGTCGAGAAAGGGCGTGGCAAGTGCTAGACAGATGGAAACAAAGAAACGGGACTGGAGCAACTTTGGGAAATCTTACAGATGCTCTGGAGAAAATAGGGAAGAGAAATGCCGCTCAAAGGCTCGTTGGTATGTAATTTCCTGTTTTTATGAGAACTCATTCATTGACATGTCTATTCATATTCTTCATGAAAACTTGAGTTGGAAGGGAGAGTCTAACAGATAGCCTCTTAGCGATAACATGAGGTTTCATAGCCTACTGCAGCTTGCATTTCAGGCAGTTTTGAACATATTTTGTTTCGTTAAGAAAGGATAATCTGAGTATACAAGAAACTTAAGGTTAAAAAGAATACAATAAAGGTTGGCTTTGACTGAAAGCAAACGCTTCTACAGTCCATCTGCTTGCCAATGTAAAATTTCTGGGGGGCGAAAGCATTGCAGTTCGTGTTTACGATTAGAGCCTCTCTAGTCCAGAGCCCTCACAAAAAATTATTTCCCAAAAAACCTTTAACATTTTAATACTAGCGATAAATTTGTTGAGAAGGTGCCTATACATTTATTATGGGGGTTTAATCAAATGCAACCTTTTTACCTTGATATTTATAGAGACAGAGAAAGTGGAGGCTGGGTTACACTGTGCGCGAGTACAAAGTTCGAAATTGCGAAGGGAAGTTGACCTTTTGAGGACGGGCCTACAGAACGAGAAACAGAAACACGACACAACAGTTAAAGAACTCAGAGAATTTACCAAAAGCCTACAAGAAATGCTAACAGAAAAGGGTGAGGATGAGCGACAACATATAGAAACAAGGGTCCAGGGCTTAGAAACCACAATTAAAAGGCTGGAAACATACCTTTCGACTGAAAAAACCGCCGATAAGGAGGTTCTGATGCAAGAAACGAGCCGCTTGGGAAAAATCTGCGACCAGATGGAAGAGGGTCTACGGGTTGTGCAAGAAAACATCAAAATGATCTCTGAAAACCAGAAGGAAATCACGGGTAAATCATTACAGCCCGAAAATAGTGCATGGGAGGAAACAAGTGAGAGGCGTTCAAGTGCAAGACAGAAGGGTGGAATGGCTGACCGAAGCCAGAAAGACGCCGGACAAAGATATGGGGAAAGGCAGAAGAACGAAGGAGCGACCATACAACTTTTGTATGAAGGTAAGTTTGAACTGCGCAGCTTCCTTCACTACAAGCTTGATATTTTTGTTTTAGTTTTCAATATAGGATAATGGATCAGAAACGGTTCGTCTTCATTTGTTTTGTGACTGTTATCATAGTCTTCAAGAGATAAAATTGCACATACTTTAACTTCAGTGGCTTCTTTGAGCAGACTGTTCAATGTTTGACCCCGTGTTAATACATGTCTTCGGTAAATATACTTTTCTATCGAATGGCAGTGTCACAAAAGGTCTGGAAAATAGTCGAGTTAGAGAATTTGATTGGCTAAAATGGATGCTGAAATAGGTCATAACCCACAAGCTGGCTATAAATGAAAACAGGGGGAGATACAACCATCCAGCGATCTGGATGAAGCTGGTCAGATCACACGTTACTGTAAACAAGACTTATGTAATCGAGGACTCATTAATATCTCGTTGATCTTCAATGGGTGTTGGTGTTTTTATAGGAAGCCAAGCATGCTTGCGATGTCCTGATTTGGAAAAGGAGCTTAACGACATTAAGACAAAAAGAGAAACAATTAAAAACAAAATCAGCCAACTCGAGCTCAAGCACAAAGAAGATAAGAAGAAGTGGGACGAGGATAAAAAAGAAAAAGATAAGAAAATAAAAGAAAACGAGCTTGAAATTGGCAACTTAAAGAAAACCAACGAAAAACAGCAGAGGCAGAAAGAAAGACTCTCCAAAAAGAAAGCTGAAATGGAGAAAAAGAAAACTGAAGTCATGGAAGAAAACAAGAAAATCATGGCTCGGATTGAAAAGTTATTGGCCGAGAAGGAGGAGCTGGAAAAGGCGCTACTTGTTCAAACCGGTGCAAAAGAACAGGAACGGCTCAAGGCTGAAAATGGTATGCTGTTGACTAGAATTGAACAGCTTTCCAAAAGGGTGAACAACAGCGAGCTAGAGTGCAAGAGGCTTCACGAGGAGCTTAAAAAGTACATCAACTTCGAAAGTCGTAAGTACATATGTGAGAGTTAGTTGTGATAGAGGAAGAAATATTCAATATGATAACTATACCTTCGCCTCGATTGTTCGTCTGTTTCATGTTAAGGAGGTTGAGTCCTATGTGATCACTTATGCCACGGCATAAAATATGTAATAATGTAGATTGATCGTCCGGGTAAGTCGATTCCTGGGAAGGAAAGTTGTCGGTAGTGGTGACTAACGTTTCGACAACCTGAGCGGAAGTCATCATCAGGATGATAAAGGAACGAAAGAATGAAGGGATGTAGAGATGTAGAAATGAAGGAATGAAGGAATGAAGGGATGTAAGAATCAAGGAATGTAAGAATAAAGGAATGAAGGAATATAGGAGTGAAGAGATGTAGGAATGAATAAATGAGGGGATGTAGGAATGAAGGAATGAAGGAATGAAGGAATGAAGGAATGCAGAGATGTAGGAATGAAGGAATGTAAAAATGAAGGAATGTAGGAGTGAAGGAATGAAGGAATAATGGAATGAAGGAATGAAGGGATGTAGGAATGAAGGAATGTAGGGTGAAGGAATGAAGGAATGAAGGAATGTAGGGTGAAGGAATGAAGGAATGAAGGAATAATGGAATGAAGGGATGTAGGAATGAAGGAATGAAGAAATGTAGGAGTGAAAGAATGAAGAAATAATGGCATGATGGAATAATGGAATGAAGGAATGAAGGAATGAAGGGATGTAGTAATGAAGGAATGAAGGGATGAGGGAATGAGGGAATGAAAGAATGTAGGACTGAAGGAATAATGGAATGAAGGAATGAAGGGATGTAGTAATGAAGGAATGAAGGAATGAGGGAATGAGGGAATGAAAGAATGAAGGATTGAAGGAATGAAGGAATGTAGGACTGAAGGAATAATGGAATGAAGGAATAATGGAATGAAGGAATAATGGAATGAAGGGATGTAGGAATGCAGGAGTGAAGGAATGAAGGAATAATGGAATGAAGTAATAAAGGAATGAAGGGATGTAGGAATGCAGGAGTGAAGGAATGAAGGAATAATGGAATGAAGGAATGAAGTAATAATGGAATGAAGGAATTAAGTAATAATGGAATGAAGGAATGAAGTAATAATGGAATGAAGGAATAATGGAATGAAGGGATGTAGGAATGCAGGAGTGAAGGAATGAAGGAATAATGGAATGAAGGAATGAAGGAATAATGGAATGAAGGAATGAAGGGATGTAGGAATAAAGGAATGAAGGAATGAAGGGATGTAGGAATAAAGGAATGAAGGAATGAAGGAATAATGGAATGAAGGAATGAAGGGATGTAGGAATGTAGGAATGTAGGAATGTAGGAGTGAAGGAATGAAGGAATGAAGGAATAATGGAATGAAGGAATGAAGGAATGAAGGAATGAAGGAATGAAGGAATGAAGGAATGAAGGAATGAAGGAATGAAGGAATGAAGGAATGAAGGGATGTAGAATGAAGGAATGGATACAAAGTTTTGGTTACATTGCTTTCGATTATCATTTATACTGGTTAAGCGACTGTTTAATATTGGTGACTGCATTAGTTTGATGGTTTTTGTTAGTTTGACGCTAATTTAGCTGTCTTTTCTTCTTCCTTTTAGGTGTTTTCTTACCAACTGGAAAGGAATTTGCCACAAACTGCCCTGGTGTTATTTGCAATTTGAAGAGAGATGTTACATCAAAACTGCATGCTTCTAGATCTTCCGATGGGCCAGGAAAAGCAAGTGACATATTTGACCATCAGAAAGGAACTACCAGTGGAACAGAGGAGAGGAAAGATTCATGGTGGTCCATTGATCTAGGCTCAAGCCATCGGCTTGTAATCACACATTACTCTTTAAGACACGGAAAAAGAGATGGAGAGTCAGTTCTTACCCATTGGCAACTGGAGGGATCCAATGACGGAATGAATTGGAAAAAACTTGAAACTAATTATAAAAGGGCAGATCCTCCACGCTTCAGAGATCCTCATCCATATTATACAGGCACCTGGTCAGTTGAAGGAAAAATGGGAGCTTTCCGATTTTTTCGAATTTTCCAAACAGGCAGAAATTCCTCTCACAAATATGGAATCTACTTGTCCGGAATTGAACTGTTCGGGGTACTTCTAAACATCTAGAAGCTTGCAGAAGAAGCCTTCGAGACTCTCGCTCAACTCTCAAATAGCAACATATTGGACTACCTCCCAAAAATTTTAAAAGCAGTAAGATCGGATTTAGAGGGTCACACATCCCTTCCATGTAGAAACATTGTATAAAGGTCTCAAAGTAATTTTATCCTTACTTCCTTTTATATCTATGAGCCAACAGTTTTTGTTTTCTTCGTGCAAAAATAAGCTTAAAATTAGCCCTTTAACTCCCAAGATCTGATTGGTAATTCTTCTCCCCTCTAACTGATACACATTTCTTTTTAATTTGGTGTTATATCAAGATAACATCTTCTACCAGATAAGTTTAAATATTCTCATTACCTGTTTGCTGGATAACGCCGATATGGCAGGATCCCGTTACTTAATAATGATGGGCTCCTACGTATGGATGTCATGGATGTCATACTCACTTCCGGTTTAATGTCAGGGGATTAAAGGAAAAGCTAAGGGTGAGGCGCATTTCACTCGGCCAAAAATTCTTGGTTTGTAATTCCTGTTCAAATTGATTTTGTTTTTACAATAATACAATACCACTATTGACCCTCAGCACCATCATGTTGAGCGCCAAAATTTCCTGTGTTTCCGATGTTGTCATGGATCTGCCTCTACAGTACAAACAAATCTTAACAGTCCCAATCTCAAGCCGAAGTGTCAACTTATCGGTTAGAAATTCCTCCCCACTAAAATATTTCGTCATTTTAATTTTATGCTAATATTCAATCCAAGCGATAGACATATGTGGGATACCAAAGACGATCAGTTAATTGCAGAAAAAAATGTGATAAAACTATACATAATATATGCATTTCAATCGGATTTGAATATTAGCTGAGCGGAAAGCGCCTCTTAAGGTTTTTAAATATATTAAGATCCATGCTTGTAGAACAAACGTCTTATCACATAATTTAAAGGATCGTGTGCGGTTAAAAGTAAATATAATTTAAGGAGACTTATATAAGATAAGGCTTTGACGATGCACACGGGCAAAGAAGCCCACAACGCTAAGGATTATTTCAATGGCGTGAAACATGCCTTTTAGACAGGGCTTGAGCTCGCAGCCGTCCAGTTTACCATGGAGAGTAAATTATAGGCCATTGTTTCTCATATCAATCTAAATTAAGAAGGATCGCAACCTTCTGATCTTGAAAAAACAACATTTCTCACAATTTTTGGGGTTTCAAATGATCGCAAAAGCAATAAACACAAGGTGAGAGACGCCTTATTTCGTTTTCCAAACAGCTGGTTGATGAGAATATGAAAACGAGCGCGAGACGAAAAGAGTTCGTGTAAACACAAGCGTAAAACGAGGAAAAGAGTGCGTGTCGCGTCTATTTCGTGTCTTTTCAACTTACATTTAATAAAATAGACTCTTACTTTAATGTTTTTTATCTCCTACTCAGCCAGCAATAACGATAGTTAGGAATGTAATGATGATATTTTGAAGGGAACAAGTTTCTTTAAAACTTATTCAGATGTTTTGAAGATATTTCATGTTAGATAATTGACACCAATGCGATCCCACTAACAGCTTGAGATAACTTGTACGTGTAGAAATTAAAGTTGTCTTCAGAAATTGATTCAGCGTCTCGAAACTTACCTGGACTGTTTACGCTTTCCATCATCTTTTTATCAGTTTAGTGGACTTAGTTTCAGTTTGAGTGAATTTGAGTGCAAGTAACGGAATACTTTCCCTGCGAATCCGGAAAACGAGGCTCAATTAGGGCAGTTTGATTGGTTCATTATTGGGATTTTGGAAGACAGGCGCATAAATAACGTTTTATCAAATCACTAGTAGTTAAAAAAAATAATTGCTAGTTGGAACATGTTTTTGTCCAATAATGATATAAATAGGTCACGCCATGTGCAACCCACTTAATTCACTATCTGCATATATCTGAAAATTAGATTGTGGGGGCGAATGGTGCCACGCATGGCACAAAATGTTTGTAATGTGGAGAGCGAACACGAAAGCAATTAATAGTAAACGGCCATTACGAGCAAACGGTTTACTCTCTCTTTAATCCTGGAATTCGCTTGCTTAAATAACATGCATGACGTAGTGTGACGCGAGTGTCACACGACACTACAATGTTTACGAACAGCTAACCATTTACTGCGTACACTGTTCACCCTTCGGTGTTCTCTTGTTCTAATTTACGAACAAACAACTAGGTTTTTTCTTCTAGAACGACAGCAAAATGCTCTCTCATCTTGATTTAAAATTATCGACCTTTAACGTAAGGTTTTTATTGGGGAACATCTCTTGGGGAAGATCAATGGATATTCCCCAGTTATAACTCTAGTATAAACAATAACGCGACTTATTTAAACCAGTCACTTGCGAGCAAAAACATTTGATGGATAATAATAGAAAAAGCTGACAATCTACAAAGCACTCTAAAAGCTACAGTTCTTATCACTTCTTTGAAAACGCTGATAATTCTCCCTTACTACCCAGATTTGAAGAATTCAGTTTATATAATATATATAAACGAAGAATTATTCGTTACAAACTCGGCAAACTAAGATCAACACTGTATCGCTTAGGTTGTGTTAGATAATAATTTACAAAGATACTCCTGCAGCATATAGACAAGTAACAGATTCTTCCATTCTCTTACTTTTCAATGTCTGCAATTTCATGTAACTGCTCATAAAATATTGATTTGTCATACTCTTGAAAAAATCATCAAAGATGGCATTTTAATTTTTTTTAACTTGCATTTCATCTAAAAAACCAAACAGCAGATTGCAATATTCTAAACGTAGCAAAACGAAGGACACATCACACTCTAAATGAAAATATAAGAGATTACAAAGAAAAAGTTATGTGGCCCCTCGAGGACACTTTTAATGGGGGCTGAGAGTTCACTTTTTATTCGGCTGCTTGATGAAAACTTTATAGGATAAAGCCTCTGTTTCTGTTAGTTCACACATGTTTAGAAGTACTCCATACAGCTCAATTCCAGATAGGTATATTCCATATTTGCCAGAGGAATTAACACCTGTTTGGAAAATTCGAAAATAACGAAAAGGCCCTATTTCCCCTTTGACAGACCATTTGCCTGTACAAAATAGAGGAGGATCTTTGAACTGTGGATCCTTCTTGTCGCGAATAGTTTCAATGTTTTCCCATTGCTTCCCATCATTGGATCCCTTCAGCTGCCATTGGGTTAGCAGTGACTCTTTTTCTCTTTTGCCGTGCCTCAAAGCGTAATGTGTGATCACAAGCCGATGGCTTGAGCCTAGATCAATAGACCACCACGAATTTTTCTTTTCTTCTGTCCCACTGACGGTGCTTGTCTTATGGTTTAATACGTCAGCCCCATCTCCAAGGCCATCGGAAGATCTGGAAGCAATCAATTCAGCGCAAGGTGCATCTCTTAATCTTTGTTTTAGGAAGCAGATGACACCAGTGCATATGCCGGCAAATTCCTTTCCAGCTTGTAAGAAAACGCCTGAGTGGAAACGAAAGTAAGATGGATAACGTTAAAAGAAAAAAAATTCCTTGTCTCCCCTTCTCATATGTATATAACTTAACGCCAGCGAAGAATGTGCTTAAAAACTAAACTAATATGACAGATACGTAGATAGAGATATCGCAAGGCTGCACCACTTTATACTAAACAGATTAGCCAAAGATGGAAAGTCAATATTATCTTTTAAAAAGTTCTTTCGTGTACGTACGACTTTGGTAATTTATGTACGTCTTGAGCTCCTCTTGTAGCCGCTTACACTCAAACTCAGAGTTGTTTGCTTTTTTTTTCAGCCTTTCTATTTGAGTCGACAGCTCTTCATTTTCAGCCTTCAAATCGGTTTGACCATTTAACGTCATTTCGAGCTCCTTTTTCTCCGCTTCAAGCTTTTGAATCTGCTCCACCATTACTTTGTTTGGTTCGATGGCTTCGTTTCTCTCCACTTTAACTTGTTTATTATTTGTTTTTAACTTTCTTTTCCGCTCCAGTTGACTTTTGTTCGTTTGGTCTGGTTGACCAGATTTGGTTTTCAGTGAATCTCTTTCTTCTTCCACATCATTGAGTTCCATTTCATATCCTACAAATTTGAATCAAAGAACATCGTCTAGAAAACCTATTGCAGGGATTGCTGAACATAAAAAATTCTCCTGAAAAAGTCGAGTTCGACATCGGTATTAATTTCAAAATTAAGAGATTAAACTTTCGTGGAAAATAAAACCGCGATGCCAGTAGGCTCAGTTACCATGACGACACAGAAATCCTCACTTGTAATGATGTAGAAGACATGTTTATAGCGCGGTGAATAAATTCAGTTGCGTGATCGAAACAAGAGAAATTTTGCTGGTATTCGATCAATATCTGTAAGAAAATAACGTTCACAAGTATACTTGTTGAACAGTCTGGAAAAAAAATAAAGAAGGACAACTTGATACCCAAAGATGAAGACGACAATGACGACGTTTTTAAACCCAATCAATGATTGCATAAATACTTGGCATATATTCCATTGAACGTCGAGCTAAAATTTTAAATGAACTAAAAAAAGGATTATCGAACCACAGTATCGCCAAGTGATTCATTTATCGTCCAATTTCAGTTGAACTCTTAGGAAGGGTGTTCAGAAAATGTTGTATTTCGGTATTTCGTGCACACTGAACATGTGCATAGTAATTTTGAGAGATATATTTTAAGATTAAAACGAATTTTTTTAATTTTAAATTAACTTGTTTTAGTTTCTCTGACTCCATCGACGTCTCTCGGACAGAACATTACAAATTTGGCTGACAAAGAATTGTGCAATATAAGCTTACCGTCAAGCAAAGGTTTTATAATGGGACCACTTTCTCTTTGGTTCTGCGAATCCCTCCGTATTGTGTCTCTCTGAATGGGATCTTCCGATGTAGTTTCCTCTTGTTGCCTCTCAATAGGTTCATCTGATGTATTCCTATCGGCTTCGAATGACCTTCCAACCGCCGCGTTTTGGTTTTCAGAGACTTTTCTGACGCTCTCCTGTACATCACATAGACCCTCGTCAATCCTGCCGCAAATTTCTAGCAATCGAGTCAATTTTTGTAGTGGATCTTGCCTTTCCAGCCGTTCAATTGTTGTCTCGAGGCGTTGCATCCTAGTTTCCATGTTTTTTCGGCCTTCCTCTCCCGTTGCTGATTGCATTTCACAATTTAATTCTTCGCATTCTTTCCGTGTTTCGTTATGCATCCGTTGCTCGTTCTGTATTTCTTCCCTAAAACGTTCAACGTCCTTTCGTAACTTCCCGCTTGCAGCTCGAACGGAGTTCAATCCAGCCTCCACTTTTACTTTTTCTAGTTAGACAGTGAAAAGAATTTGCAGAAGTTAACCAAAGGTAAAGAGGTCACAATAGGCTCTGCCTTAAATGATAAAATAAAAGGTTTTCACAATCGTAACTTAACACAAGGCTAAGATAAGATTTCTGGACGAGTTTCTTCTACGTTTATGCAATTGCATTTTATTGGTAAAAGTAGTTCAATTTGTCCTAGTGTTTTCTCTACATTCAGGCCTCAAGGCCCGGCCCGCTGTAGTACTTCAACTTCGCAAAAACTGTGCAGTGAAACGCTGACTGGCTAAACTATTGCTTTACATCGGCTAATGGTCCAGTTGTTGATATCTTTGTTAAATAAAGTAGGGCTTGAGTATAATTAGGTTCTCCTTCCTTGGTGTAACTATTGTAAATGTAACAAAACTTGCCTTCGTCGCGAACTGCGTTAGAAAATGTAATCCCCCTGGCATGACTGAGGAGTTGGTCATTTGAAAATCTTTTCCCACATGGGTTTCAGGTATTTTTTTAAGGAAATAAATAGACTCGGCACTGAGTGTACTCTCTTCAAATAAGAAATCACATACCAATCAGCTTTTCGACGGCATTTCTCATCCTCATCTGCTCAAGAGCATCTGCGAGAATTCCCATAGTTGCTTCTCTTCCCTTCATTTGTAGCCACCTTTTCATCACTTTCCACGCCCTGTCACGGTTATATCTGAATTCGTCCTCAATATTAACAACCTCAGCTGGTGGCAGCTTCAAGATAGTTCCTAGGTCTATCCAGAATCTACCCACGTCATCGCATATTAACAATATGTGGTTTTCAGTGACACGAGCCTGTCGCCATTGTGTGATATTGGAGGTGTCTGCAAAATAAGCATTTATCTTATTGAAAAAAAAATTGTCACATAAAAGGTTTAAAAGACAGATAGCAACAAAAGCTCGCTAGGAGCCGTGGAAATGACTTCTCAGGATTCCACATAATACTATATCGATTACAGGTAACGACTTGGAGGAGATAGTCAGTTTAACTGATAGCGTTTAAGTTATGAAATTAGAACTTTAAGAACCTTCATTTCTGGTTGAATTTGCCATCTCTTCAAGTAAGTCGGTCGAGAATTTTGTCAAACTGAGGCAATTTCCAGATCTTGTCTTGGCTGAAGTAGCTAAAGAAGACAAAAGTCACCAATATAAAATCAGTCACCTGCAATCAAGCGTTCTTTTTTTTTCTGAGGCGTGCGATGGTGTGGCAGTTATAGAGTAGGTGGTCAAG